ACTCAAAGGCCCCCGTGTTTCGAACCCCAAAGTTCTGCGGCACAGGATAATTTAACCTGCACGGAGACGAAGTGGCACGGGACCGGCGCTCGTTGAACGGGAGCGATGCAGCCGACTACGGGTACGCAGTGCCAAGGGTCTCCGAGGCATGGGATAGACTAGCTTGGTTCATGAGGTCAAAATCGACGTCTTGAGAAACCTCTCGCGACACCCACGAAAGGTCAATAAGAAACTCTCAAGTAGACTAAGACCAATCAATTCTTTTCCAAAGCCTGGCCCTCTGTCGGCTTCCGTAGATTACTCCTCTTCTTTAGACCCCCCAAATATTGATCCTAGCTAGAGAGATAGCTAGCTAGGACAATGCAAAGTGATTTAGCCTACCGGTAGGCAGTATGATGATCGTGTTGGTGTTGGTGCCTCAAAACAGCAAAAACATAGAGTTCCTCGGCTTCGTAGCGCTATGCATACTGGATTTGGAGCTGGGAGGTCGTTCCCGGATGCTGGAGCTTGCAGTAAAACTGTTGGACTTCTTTTACTAGGGTACTTATGCATACCAGTCACGTCACTGGCCAAACTGGAGTTTCTCCGAATTTGGCTGGAGCTTTGTCAGGTTTGCTGCTGTTTCTAGCGCGAGAGCTCAATACCGGTACTACATATATTGCAGCCCCCACCACGCACGAGCCATCACACAGACACAACGACACAACGAAGCAAAGGCTTTTTTTCTGGGTCAACAGCTGAAACGTTCTGAGACCCCTGAAGCAACACAAACTATCCTGTTTGCTTCCTGCATCCGCTCCGTCACCACAATACCGGTGGTAGACCATGCGTCAACAACGCACCAGTCCTCCGAGAGAGGAGGAAAGCAAAGAGGAAGGCGATGATGGGATAGCGGCCGTTGGCCATGCTCCTCCCCTACAGAATGGACAACTAGTCCAAGCAGCATGCCGGGACCTAGTGCATTTAGATTTTCAAGCGGCACTACTAGAGGAAGGGTTCCAAGAAGATGGAAGCGGGGAAGAATCGGTCATACGGAGGAGGGAAAGTGAATCACAACGTGAGCCTGAAATACACGAGGATACCTTTGCCGAGGAACCTTCCTACGATGATGGCAAGATGATGCTGACAGACGAAGAGTATCAATGGGCACGAGACATCAAGAGTGCAGCACAACTGCAGCCCGATTTGGACAAACTGCCCGACTTTTGGTATGCTCAGATTGCGCTTTGTGATCAGGGAGATGTGGACGCTGCGTTGCATAGGATCCATGGACTTCAGACGTTCTGGAAGGAATACAAGGTTATCTTGGACAACTTGAACAGTGCTCGGAAAGTTGTTCGTGAGTCCTTGGAGGACCTCTTTCCGGGCTTTTGGCTTTCACTCACGTACAGTCCAACAGCGGGACACTACACCCTGGTGATGGACGCTGTCAAGCTTGACATGTCCGTGTTAGCGACACACCCTCAAGCTATGGATTCTCTAATCCTATCAATGTTCTATGTTTTGCACGCGGCAAACCCAGATTTTGAAACCATCCGTCATGGACTCTACTCCATCGCCGAATGTGAGGGGCAAGACTGGAAAAATTCGATGGGAGCTGGAGACATGCGTCGGGTTTGGACAGAGATTGCCTCTGTGTATCCAATTCGGTACCAGAAGCTCGATCACATTCACACGAACATGGTTGTCAACATGATGTGGTCACTGGCCAAAAGGTATCTGCCCAAAAATATCCGTGACAAGTTTGATGCAAGGGGATGCTCTGATGTCGAACGCCTCGATAAGCTGTACTCCATTCCAACGCTGGAAGCAGCCAATGGGAGGTTCTTGGGAACGGTTATGGATAGTCTCAAGAAGCGACTTGAAAATGAGGCCAGCTTCTCCCTATAATCAACATCAGCACAAGCCGGCAACCGCAGTGTCACACCGTATCGAATCGAAGCTTACCGGTACCCGTACCTTCGATAGCGGACACAAGTATCCCAAAAGATCCTACGATTATGTTGAGGGTACCGGTTGCCTGAAGTCTACCGGTATCGTATTTCGAAGGAGTGTCAACCCCAGCAAAAATGCATGGATATATATGCATATGTCTAGAAGTTCCGGTCCTCAAAGTCCATACGGCTGTACTTCGAATGTTGGTTTCCATAGGTTGTTGGCTGGTTGAAGGCGACAGCTGTTGCCGAATCTTCGACTCATAGCGCCAACGAAAGGCACGCCACTGGCTACCGGACGACTTTGCAGCTGGAGCTGTACCGGTCGTATAACACTGGGGAAAGCACAAAAACAAACAAACTCCTGTTATTATTTTTAAAGTAAAATTGTAGGAAGTGGCTACCTTGCAAGCGGACATCTTTAACCGACGATATAGAGCGCAACATATACAAGTCCTCTTTGTGCGCCTACCATTCCACGCTTGCTCTTATTACACTCCCATTTCCGAAACATTGTCATCATCACTTCCAGAGGAATCAGTCACAATGGTCTTGGGGACTTCCTTGGCAGTAACAGCAGTGAGGTGGTGCATTGGGTGTCGTCTCTCCTCCTTACTCTTAGCAGCGGCCTCCTTCATGGCTTCAATACCCTTGTGGATTTGCTTTTCTTCGTCCGTGAGTTCCTGTTTGTATTGGATCTTGTCCGCGATTGCTTCGGGAAGCTTGTCAAGGCCTCGTTGGACAGCCTTGTTGTACGGAACAAAGGCAAACCATGGGACTAGGCCATATGCCCCATCGTCCTTCCCTTCTTTGCCGTAGAAGTAGACCCCGAGATTCTGCACCTTGCTCTTTCCGCCGATCTTGTTCAACCATTCATCACGGACAGGACCAGCAGGGACGTCGTTGGGACCGAGACAGAGTACAGGCAGATACGTATTGGTGAGGCGTTGCTTGTAGACACCAACTTCCAAAAAGTTGTTCTGGATGTGGCTGGGAATCTGCGACACGAGGTCACCACTTCCCACGAGAGATCGGGCAGCACGGGTGGAGACGGGATTTTCTTGCCTTCGGCGGGGTGAACCGGAGTACTGAGAGCGCCAGTCTTCGGCTTTCTCCGCAGTTTGGATGCGAGGAGTCGATTCTGTTCGCACAGTCATCTCATCCTTTTTCCTGCGCCCCCGAAGACTGAGCCACCTTCCGCTACTACTGGCCTTCTTTCCATCAGCACCTTGCTCGGGAGCAGGTTTGCTGCGATTGAAAATGCCACGGCTTGCTGTGGGTGGCTTGGCGGCGGTGGTTTCATTGTTTGCCTTGCTGATGCTAGAGAAGACTTGCTCTGCTTCCTTCCTGCGTGCGCACTCCTCCAAGTACTGCTGCTTCAATTTCTCCATGGAGGTCTCCATATCTGCGACGCGGGCCTTCCACCCAGCGACATCGGTTCCCTCCTCCTCCTTTTCTCTTTCTTCGAGTTCCTTGCATCGAGCCCTGAGCATGTCGACCTCACTCGCCAAGTTGCTGTCAGCATTGTTCAAGACCACTTCGAATTCGTCATCTGTCGACTTCAGCTTCGCCTGTCGCTCACGGGTCTGGAGAGACTTCAGCTTGGCTTCTTGCTGTTCGATTTGCTCGTTCAATGCCTTGAGTTTCTCTTCTGCCGACGATTGTTCTTCGCTAGCTCCAGGGTGCTTCTCCGCCTTTTCCAATGAACTCTTCATATCTGCACAGCGAGCCTCCAACAGTTGAATCTCACTGTCCTTGCTCGCAACCATGTTGTCGAGGAACTTGAGCTTCTTGGCGAGAGCTACTTGTGCTTCAGCGCGACGTTGGACTTCCGCGCGCCCTTCTTCGTCATCTTGCCCGGCAAAGTTCAACTTTTCATGCAGAAATACCATTTCATGCTCTTTCTTCGCCAACCGCTCATTCAAAACATAGATCCTGTCTAGGGCATCTTCAAGAGCAGCCTTCTGCTTCCTTTCGGCTTCATTCTTGATTTGCTCAACACCGTCCAAGTAGAGCGTCTCGGCCTTCTTCAACGAAGCTTGAAGCTTTTCGCAGCGCTCCTGAACGGCCTGAAGTTCCTTGTTCTTCTTCTCCATCAGAATGCTGGTTTCGTCGCTCTTCCCTTTGAACTCTTGCAACTGTGTAGTTAAATCAATCTTCTTTTCTAGCTCCTCCTCGGTTTCATGAAGAGATGTCTGCAAGGATTCGCATCGGCTCTTAAACAATTCGAGTTCCTTGTCTTTGCTGTCGACCATAGTCTCCAACTGCTTTTGTTTCTCGGTCTTGGTTAAGATATCGGTTTCCATTTTTTCAGTCTTCGCCTCGAGTTGAGCGATGGTAGAAATCTTCTTAGCCACGGACTGGTTGAGAGCAGCAATCTGTTGGTTCATGTGGTCCATGTCCTGCTTGTCGACAATCTTTCGTTGTTGTCCAAGTGCAACATCAGCTCTGAGCTTGTGGGCTTCGGCGCTGACAGTTTCCCACTTGGCCGTCAACTCATCAAGTGACTTGGACAATTCCTCAACCTTTGTTTCGGCTTCTTGACGTCCTGTCTCGGAGACGTCAAGAGCTGCACGAACGCTGTCCCCTTGGCATTTCGCGGACAGGATCTCAGCTTCGGTCTTGGCCACAGTCTTTTCATACTCGGCAAGCTTGTTTTCTGCAGCCACCTGAGCGGCCAATGCCGCCTCTCGTTGCTCTGCTTCATACGCTCGGTTTTCCTCCATCTTCTCGTTCATTTTGGCAATGGCTGCCTCGCGCTCTTGATCCTTGGACTCGGTCAATTCCTTCATTTTGGCAACGGCCGCCTCGCGCTCTTGATCCATAGACTCGGTCAATTCCTTCTTCATAATCTCCATGTCTCTCTCGAGCTTCTCCTTGGCCTTCGCCTCCTTCATGTATTTGGTTAAACCCAGATTGAGGGCTTCTGCCTTGGTCTCCACAGTCTTTCCCAACTTGAGAATCTTCTTCTCGAGTGTCTTCTTCTCATCCTTGTGTTGGGATTTGGCTCCGTCTAATTCAGTTTGAAGGACGTGAGCGTTGGCAGTTTGCATATCCAACTGATCTTTGGTTTCGGATAGGTTGCTCTCAAGGTCAGCCTTGTCCTGTTCCAAGGCAGCAAGCCGGGGCTTCAGCTCCTCAAGCTCAGCGCTACAGTCTTCAAGCTGCTTTTCCATGGGCTTCAATCTTTCATAGTCATCTTTCTGAACATCATAGTCGTGTTGGATTTGACTGAACATCTTCTCAATCTCTTCTTTGGCAGCTTCCATTCGCTCAATTTCAGATTTCAAAGCGTCGCATTCCGAAACCTTGCTGTCATGGTTGGTAGTCAGTTTCTCGTGCTCCTCTTTCAAAGCAGTGAGCTCCTCTGTGCTATTTTCAAGCTCAGTCCGGAGACCATCACGTTCCTTGACGAGATCGTCCCTATCACACTGAAGAGTCCCTTTCTCGAACTCGATTGTCTCCTTGGCAATCTTCAGATCACTATGCTCGGCCTTGAGGTTTCCCAACTCTTCTTCGACCGCGCTGAGCTTGTTCGTCAACCCTTCCTCGGTTTCTTTGAGCTTCTTGGCTGACTCTTCTTCGAGGGCTGCAATCCTGTTGGCCTTCTCTTCCTCGAGAGCAGCAATCTTGACGGCTTTCTCTTCCTGGAGAGCAGCAATCTTGTTGGCCGAGTCTTCTTCGACAGCAGCGAGCTTCTCAACAGCCTCAGTGCATCTGACTTCGGTATCAGCAACGAGCTCTTGAACCTTCTCATTAAACCTTGTCTCGGTTTCTCGCCACTTTTGGTCGAGTTCCTTCCTGGCCGCTTGGGCGGTTTCGAGTTCAGCGCGAATTCGTGCAGCTTGACTCTCAAGAGCTTTCTTGGAGTCTTCCCATGAAGTCTTCGCTTCCTTGTATTCACTCTCAGTCACCTCTTTGCAGATCTTAAGACTATCCATGGCAGCGGACATGCTGTTATTCTCAGCCTTCAGAACAGCGACTTCGTTTCTGAACCTGTTCTTCTCGACACGGTGTGTCTCTTCCATTTCCTTCTTGGTGACCTTCAGGTGGTCAAAGCTGGCGCGGAAGTTGTCGTACTCAGACTTCATGGTGATCACCAATCGCTTCCACTTCTCCTTGGCTTCCTCGTGACCTTGTTCAATGTCGTCCTTCTCGGCCTTGAGGACGTGGAAGCCTGCCTGAAGCGACTGGTACTCAGCACGAAGCGTCGCGAGCTCGTCCTCTTGAGAATTGAGGGATTGAGTCGATCCTTGGTAGGCCGATTCCAATCGATTGAGCTCCAATTCCATCTTGTCCATGTTTTCGCGGATGCTCTTCAACTCGGTCTCTTTGTTTTCGCTCATGACCTTGTACTCGGCTTGTAGTTTGGCTAGCTCAATGTCCTTGCACACTAGCGATTCATTAAGGTTCTCTACTTGAACGGCCGCCTCCGAGCGCATGCTGTCCAACAAATTTTGAGCAGCATTCAAGCCTTCTTGGAGTTTGTCGTTCTTTTGGCGCAAGTCTTGAGACGAGACCACGTTCTGTCGCAGCTTGCTGTTCACGGACTCGGTTGCTTCAAGTTGCGTGAAGTAGTGATCTTCTTCCTCCTTCACGGCAGAGTTCAATTGCGTCAACGCCGAACGAACTTTGGCGAGGTCCAATGGGCCTCGTCCGAATGCGGATGAGATAGCCGAGGTCAAAGGTGAGAAGGGCTCCGGCGTGTGGTACGTCGAAGGCGATTCTGCAGCGACGCTCGCAGTTCGTGCCTGTGGTGCAGGAGAACGAGTTTCGTCTTGTACAGGGCTTCGTCGATCATCTGCAGCAAGTGGTTCCTCTTCACGAGGTTGGTTTGGTTGTTCTTCCGCCTTTTTGTTATCAACCGCAGCGACAATTTCGAATGCTTCGTCTTGAGGGGCATTAGAAGCCGCCACTGGCGACGTGGGGGCGCTCGGGATTACTTGCGGCTCGGCATCGACAGTCATGGTCGCCACAATGTCCTCAACGAGATACTTGGTCGGGTTCTGTGATCACAAGGGAAGAGTGGCAACAGAGAAATAGAAGGTTTTCGGGAGGAATGAAGCTCGATCGGAAGCGAAATGTGAGGCTCAAGGTAAGCACAGTCAAGTTTTTAGTATGTCGCTAAGAGAACGTATTTTCGCTGTTTTCTCCAGCACTTAGCCAGTTTTGTCGATGGGTCAGGTGCAGGTGCTCTCGCTGAAGTCTATGTAACCATCGCAAGCGCAGGCAAGTGCGGGGACCTGTCGGCCTTTATTAAAATCGAATGTTGTCCACCCGGGCAGGCTTTTACACCTCAGCCCAAGCGGGACCGACCCGGTGAATCACACAATGGGTTGCTCTTACCGCGCGCGGGAGTCAAGACTGTACGTGTACCGCTTGCGTCCTTGCATCCTGCCCTCCTCGAGGCCCTCTCTGCGACCTATCCTTGGTACGGGTACCTCGTACCCTCTAACCCATGGTAGGGACTCCAGATACTAAAATGATCCAGAGAATCGCCAGAAAACCTGATCAACTCCTGCAACGAAATATACGGAGCATGCCCACATAAACCTCGATTTCATAAGTACCACAATAGCCCAAGCACTGATGATTCCCAAGGGGGATGAAAAAGTCAAACAACCGAAAAGTTACCACAGAGTAAAGCCTGTGTTTTGGCGATTCGGCAGTTTGTCCTGATCAAGAGTAAAACTACTTAATTCAGTCACTTTTTGCTAAAATCGTATAACGTATTAGCACTTCAGCCAAACAACCATGATACTTACTTTTACGGTAGATAGCGCGGTACTGGTAGCAGAGAGAAGCGGACCAGCGACAGCCGTACGGAATTCTGATGCAGATCTAAAAGCTACCGGTACTAGAGCAAGCTAGAAGATATTTTATAACGAATGCTTCAACCAATAATTTGTCTCTCCAGCTTGACTTCTTCATCTAGTACCATAGTACCGTACGCACAGTAGATCTATCGGTACCTGTTCAGCCAGGAGCAAGCGAGATTCTCGACCTGACAACGAAACATTGTTTGCTGGGATAATTGAAGGGTACTACTAGCTAGATCGGCTAACTTTGGTATCATATGGCAATAATCCAACTGAAGAAGAACACAGTCCTCCAAGAAACAACGCTACGATGGCTCCCGATTTGATTGAATTCTTTTACATTTTGCGCTCAATAATCATTATCAATTGTTATAGTATGAATTCTCCTTTTCTTGGTTTGATCGTTTCATTGTGATATCGATCCGATCCTACTCAGTACACTTTAGCACCATGATGGCATTACTCAGTATGGTACACTTTTAGCACCATGATGGTATTATGGCCTCGCTCAGACTCAGTTCCCACATCTTCCGCACAAATAATATAGCCTACCCTCCGCCGTTCATCGATCGACAGCTTTTTAAAATCATGGAAAGCAGCAAATTCTTTATTCCGCAGTCACCTCCATCTCATTGTTGGCGTGCTTGCTGCTCTCCGCGGTTTCTTTGCCATCTGACTCAATGCTTTGGGAGCTCGTTTCTGATGGCACCGTATCGAGTTGGTTTGCCTTCTGGATGTCATCAAGAATCTCCTTTTCGTGATCAGTCAGGGCTTCGCCAGCTTCAATCTTTTTCAAGATGTTCTTTGGGATTGTCACGAACCTAGGTGCCGCAACCTCTTTGGCAGATACCTCGGCGTTTTCGCCTTTGTGAGCATCATCGAAATTGAAGGCCTTCTTGTTGTCTTGCTTCGGTGTGTTGTGGCTGGAACAAGTGTTGTTGCCGGTGTTGTTTGGGGATGCGGTGGTCACCGTAGTCTTTTGTTTCCACATTTGCATCACGTTCTTGGTATTGTTGTTACTGTTTACTATTCCCGCAGAAGCACATTTGTTGTAGTTGGCCTTGACGTGATGACCACCAAACATCTGAAGTCGTTCCTTGAAGGAAAGCCGCCTCTCGGCAGCACCTTCTTGTTCGGCGTCGTCTCGAACCTCCTCATTCGAAGGGGCACTCTTTGGGTCCTCCACTTGCTCTCTGGTTTCTTCTTGGCATTTCTCGAGCCTGCGTACCTTTTTGGGAGACTTCCGGTTGGTCGAAGAGAGTTCTTTCATGAAGCTGTACATTTGTTCTTCAAGACTGGCTACGCTAGATTCGGCACTCCAGGTGGAGGAAGGTGTCTCCGCAGAATCAGCGCAAGAAGCAGAATCATCAGCCTTCCTGTCAACGTCAATCTTCAAGATCTTCTTCTTTGGTTTCTTTCTCTTTGCTTCAAACAACTCGTCTGCTGGGATCTTGTCCAACCGCTCCACGAGCGCTTCACGTTTTGCGACAGACCCGATAAATTCCTGAAACTCTTCACGCAGTGCCTTGGAGTTATCAAGTGCACTATTGTGCTTGGTTCCCTGAAGCTCGAATGATTCCTTGAAGTTCTTCAACATGTGGCTCCTTGCTTCAGGTTCAGCCTTGGCTTCGGCGTTGATCTTCTCAATTCCATTCTTGAACAGTTGCTCAATTGGAGCCAGTTCCTCACCGCTCTCCTCTTTCTCAGTGATATTCGCTGGAATGATGTGGAAGCCCTCAGCAACACCTTCGTCGTAGGGGATGAAGCTTTCACATGGTATCATGTCGTAAGCCAACGCTTCGTCCTCTTGACCATAATAGTAGACGCCGAGCAAGGTGGTTGCCTGTCCCAGCCACTTCTTGCGGATTGGTCCAGGAGGAACATCGAATGGTCCGAGAGCCAGAACCGGGAAATAGAATTCATTCGTCCTGAAGAAACCAACTTGAGTGTAATTCTTCTTGATGGAATCTGGGATAGCTTCAAAGATCTGGGCTCGAAGTGTCTCAAAGTCTTCTTGCGTCACAGCGCAGCTCTCACGATAGATGGTCAAAGGATTCATGTCCTCTTCAGCCGACAATGCCTGGGAAAGGTTGGAGCAGTTCGAGTCGCCATCGCCATCGTATTGTTCAATCATCTTCCGAAGAGAAGAGATTTTCTTAAGATCGGCCTTTCTCAGCGCATTTTCCTCCAAATACTGGTCCTGAGCTTCAGCAAGGGAAGCTCGGAAGCTAGCACGTTCGCGGTCAAGCTCCTCCACTTCTTCAGCCAGGGTATCGAAGTGCTCGAGTGTCTTTGTTTGGACCGCTTCGAGGTCATCTTGCTTGCCCAGCAACATCTGTTTCAATTCCTGGATTGCTTCGGAGGCCTTCTTGAGATTGGCTGCTTTCACCTTGTTGCGAGACTCCAAGTCCTTGATCCTGAGGGCTGCTTTCTTGGCTAAGGAAACCACCTTCTCTTCGCGGGCCTCCATGGTTTTGATTTTCTCATTTGCCACCTGCTCCCTTTTCTTTTCTTCTGCTGTCAGATCGGAGATCTTGTCCCCGGCCAACTTGACATAATTCTTGTGACTCTCTTCCAAGGCTTCCAGCTTACGAATCTTGTCGCTTGCTTGCTTCACGAGCTCGAGATGCTCCTGTTCTTTGCTCAGAAGTGAATCGATCTTCTGTTGGAGAATCATAGTCTTCTCTTCTTGCGCTTCGAGGCTTTCGCGAAGCTGCTTGACATAGTTCTTTTGACCATTATCGGACGCCTCCAACTTGCGAATCTTTTCACTTGAGCTCTTCTCAAAATCGGTGAACTCTTGTTCCTTAGTCGAAAGCTCCTCGAGCTTTCGTTGCAGTGCCATCACAGTTTCTTCTTTCACCTCAAGGCTCTCCGTCAATTTTTGGATTTCGGTGCATCTAAGTCGTTCGGCTTCGGCGACTTTCGTGTCCATTTGCGTGCTCAATTCCTGGACTTGCGCCTGGTGGCGTTGTTCGGCTTCATAGATGGTGGCAAGGACTTCTTCGTTCAGCTTCTGCACAAATGTGCGGATGCGATTGAACTTCCTAGGCGCCGGCGGTGCGACAGATTTCTTGGGAGTAGGACTGGGCACATCGAGCATTTCTTCGATCTGTTGCTCAAGCGTCCTCGCCTGAAGGCCGCCTTTTTCAGTCATGGTGATGATGGTGGTTGTTGTCGCAGTGTCAAGGGCTCTTGCAATGATTCCAGCTTGTTTCTAATCCGATCAAAGGTTTTTCAGATTGTGCTGTGGGCGGTGTGGGAAGAGTCTAGTGACAGTCTTTCTCAGTCTTATCTGCGATGCTCGAGTTTTGGAGAGGGTCTGGAGGTCGTCGCCGACATTTATCAGCGAGAAGCGCTCCAAGTGGGTCTCAGAGCAAGCGCGCCGTCCAAAATATCCAGGAATGAGTGCCGGATTTCAGTACACGTACTGGTACAGTTCGATACACCGTACGTGTATGTACTATTAAGTGCAGCCGTACATGTGTACGCTTCCACTCCTGCAGATAAACGTGAATGGCGACAGGTCCACTGCGATCTGCGATGCACCATTTGACTTGACTTAGCTTGGCGCTTACCGGTACAGCATCCGATTCGATTCCGATTAGCTGATTAGAAGGAGAACGAATAGCTAGAATAATAACTACAGCAAGAGGTTGCATGACATCGCGTACAGACAGTAGAGATTTTTTAAATGAAAGAACTATGACAAAGCTGCAGTACTGCTGGTACCAGCACCACCAGGACTCGTGATCAGTTCCGCGCGTCCATTTCTTGGACATTTAAGGATGTCCCACGGGGTGTTATCTTAAAAGCGTGAAACATGCAACGTTTACTAGCATTATCACGATAAGAAAAGTGAGAGAACCCTATTGAGAGGGTACCTTAGAGCAATTCGTTCTCGCCCAATACCCCAATGCCCGTATAGGTTGTGATATACCATCTTATAGAGTAGACAATGCTCTATCTGTATGACCTGAAAGAAACATAAAATGTGTTGTTGTGTGTTCACCCACTGTAACTGTCGTCGGCTCATCGAAAACTGCCCATTCCAATGAGTATCCCCGTTGCGGGATGGACTTTGCTCGATAGACAGCCAATATTTTATGTTTCTTTCTCCAGCATGAGATGCACCGTACTCAACAATGTATAGTGACTTGGTATCATGTCATTGGAAAGTGGCATGCCGATTCTGTTCTCATGGTCGGAGGGTCAAGGTAGGTTGTTGTTGTGTTGGAATAGTGAGCAGCCGAAACTGTTATCTCCATCGGAGAAAGATATCGAAATCAGCGTGGGATGCACGCTCGACAAGGAATCACGCTGAACTGAAAAAACAAAGAACCAAAAAGATCAGCTTCATTGTGACACTTTTTGCGCCATTTCGCCGTTGTGTACTTACAAGCTTTCACCATGAACCGCGCTACCAGAGTTGAATACTATGATGAGGCCTGCCTTGATTTTGCTACTGATGCTTGCTTGATGAGTATTGTTGCTCTTCCCAAGGTCCTGCCCATGGGTGGTGGCTTTCGCGACGGAGTGACAGTGAAGCCTGACGCAAAGTATTGGGTGAAAGGAGAAGGGTTGAGTCGCCGGCCATCGAAGAGACTGAGTCTGCCCCTGCTTTTACTGTGGTTGAGGCAAAGAAAGTGTCTCGTGAGTACAAGACCCATGACATGTCCAGCACTGTGTTGTCTTACAATCTTGTGTTGATGGATGGAAGTGGTACCATGTTCAAGGCCACGGTTAACAGTGGCCTGTCCCACTATTTCGCTGCATACAACTCTACGTTGGATCGACTGTCTTCGTGGATGACTATGCCATCATCACGCAGACATCCAACCGTAGCTACACGTACAAGATGTACATGCTCATCAAGGACTTCGCTGGAAGCTTCCCCCAACAAGAAGGTCATTGATCTTCTTCCCATCATCATGCGTGACGTTGTTCCAGCCACTGGGCATATCTACCGCGCACGGTAGTTGAGAAGATGATAGACGCCAAGGCCATTCGGGCAGTTTCCAGGTTGGGAGCTGTGGTTCCACTTGAAGAGAAGAGTACTTCGATTGATGCATATGAGTCGATCCACTGTCTCATGAAGGCGACTGACAAAGGGCCTTACTTCCAAGGAAATTGGATCCAGCATGACCTCAGCCGTCAGCATTGGAAGGAGCAAATGGACTTTGACTTGATGAAGTCTCGTGGATGCGACATGCGGGAAAATCTCCTCGATACGTTCGATCTGTATGATGAAGAGGAAAACAAACGTGGAAGTTACTTCATTGTGACACAGCCCGCGATTGGAGAAGAGGGACATCACAACAGTTGCCAGTGCTGTTCGGAGTATGGATTCATCAGTGCATTCTTCTTACCTTGCCTCTTGAGGATGTGGACGTGAACGACTTGTATCTCTCTGTTTCAGCAGGTTGAACGGAGAGCTGGATGGTGACTCATTCGATGACTTGGCGCCCAACCACAAGCGCTGGTGCTTCTACTGGTACTACGCCGTCAATGGTACAAGTTCGTCAATGGCCGCAAGCAGTTGCCAACCTGTTTCGTAAAGGCCGTTCGGTCATTGTATCCGAATCCGAGGGGAGTTAGGTACAGCACTTTCATGCCTACTGATCCGAAGAAAGTTTTGGAGGAAAAAAGTATTATGAGCGCTGGTGCCAAGGCTACAGAAGGTGGTGTCAAGCGAAAGTCCCTTGATCTTTGGGAAGACTAGAGAGCAACCGAACACCGTTGGTTCTCTCTTAGCCTATCAACGCTCCAATCAGCGACGTCTCGGAACCATTCAGAGAGTTGCCGGAACGATGGAACAGTGGAGGAAACTTCAACGCAACCACTATTTCCAATCTTGTTGTCTTGTGTATTTGTCGACAAAGAATACCGGTTTTCGCAGCCAATGAAGTGTAGCTATTGATAACACTAGACTTTCTATACTATTTTAGTACACCGTCGTACCCAATAGCTACGTACATTTGACAAGTCAAACCGTTCCGCGATTTCTCCAACTCTGAATCGACGATTATCGCAAAAGAACGTAAGAGAACTACGGCCCTACTACGCTACTACATGTATGTGTTTGGCGATGTTCAACTGTCATTTGCTAGCGATTCCGACAGCTCCGCGATTCGTGTGATCGCTTGTGAGGGGAATATTTATCTATGAGCGAAATTTCATTCGTAGCGCCATCCTCGTTATCCTCGTCTTCATTCCTAGGAACAACATTGTAATGTTCTTCTTCGCCGACGGATGTTTCATTGGGGGGATCCACCCTACTCCTCTTACGTCGGTTCCTCCCATTATTTGGACACAATCCACTCCTCGCATCTTTATGTCCTCTCCGATTACATTTGAACAAACTACCTCCGACAATGGCCCCCTACCGTTCGTTTCTTCACTTTCCATCGCGGAGCCAGTCTGGTAAGCCATGCCGTTCGCTCGATCAATCCGCAGTTGTTTCATGTAACCCTGTATCTTGTCATGCATTGTCTTTTTGCGTTTGACACGGAACTCCTTTTTCCTTGATGTCTCTAACTTACTGTTTCGTTGTCGGTCCCTTAGGAGAAGTCGGTACTCTGTCAACAAGTCTACATCCAACCCAACATGAAAGAACAATCATGCCACAGAGCCCTGTTACCAACCAGATGGATGGCAATTGCAATACGGACTCGCATCACCAACGAAACGCTACCGCAGTACGTCTTTGCTTTGGGAGCCAGCCATGCGATCTGTTGATTCAGTGACTCGTTAACTTGGGTGTCACTGTCGTGGAAAAGTTGGCAAGCTTTTCAGCTGTGGTGAATTCTTCCACAAGTACTTTCAAGTCCTCGAAAAGCAAGCTGTCACGTTCCATATTGCGGTAAGTTTTCTGGGACTTTGATCGCTGCTCCACGTTGTCTGCCTTTCTCTTCACCACTCACCGCATTTGTCGTGTAAATCAAAATGATGTCTGTAGATGCACTTTGCCCTTTCCACCCTTTCGCTTTCCGGTATGCTAGCAAGATCGCGGATGAAGAAGATGAAATACAAAGATATTCGAAGAATATCGCCCTCCTGCATGTCATTCCTGGTTTTTACTGGTCTTGCTTTCAACTGGTACATACGATTTCTTGAGTGTCTTCTTTCGATGAGCTGGGTCGGCAAGGAACCTTGGTTGCGGCACAGGGTACTTCAACATCCCGATGTACGGTATACCGGTATCATTTTACTTGTTCCGGATTCTTCTGTTGAGATGGAGGCGCAACACGTGTCCTATTATCAACTCCCTCCGGTCCCCTGGTGCATGACCGTGGTGTTTCAACCAATCAACGTTGGACCATTTGCATCGTCCTTCATTTTGCTGTCATCGTCGGTAACAACGTTGGTGGACAAACAGCCTTGTCGAAGTACAGATCCTCTGCCATCTTCAACAATGAGGCAGCCTCCATTGCACCGGCACCATCATCGTGGTTGACAAGACACTCATGATCCGGTATCTCATCGGTAAGTTCCCGCTTCTGGTTACATACCCTACAAAAGGTGCATTTCGTAGACAGACTCACTGGTTTTCTTGTCTTCTCTCCCACCAGACATGCATGACCTGAATGGGAGTCATACGTCCTGCCACTGTATCGCTTATTCCATCCCATATCAGTGGAAGTTCCGATGAATGGAAGCTGTGTTCCTTCTGGAGGTGAGTCGCCTGTTACTATACTGTCATGCCACTGCTTCAACTCGTCTTCCCTTCCAATATACGTTTGTCTTATCTCTTCCATCAAATTGTCATGCAGGTACCCTTCTACTACGTATTCCACGTAGGGAGCCACCTGCCGCTCGATTTGAGAGAATGTTCTCCTTTCCATTGAATTTGCTCCAGGAAGAGACAGAAAGCTCAATAGCCTTGCTGCCTCCGTTCCACCATCTCCGCTACCCACAAAGGCAAGTACAAATCGGACATTGATATCAAAGTCAATGTTGCATCACCCTGTGCATCAGACTTTCTAAGCGTGGTTCTTTTGGTCCTGGCAGACCTTGACTTGAACATGGATCACATTGCGTACACTCAAGTACTGGTGTAGTAGCAACACAAACAGAAACAAACTTCAAGCGAAGTGAATTGGCCTTGTGACATCGTGCAGACACAACTGTCTTCGATTAGCTTGGAAATGGTGCTGTTTCCACTATGGCACGGGTAGGTGGAGTGGTTCTGTCATGGTTTCAACATCTGGGACATCATCATCGTCAACTGCAGTGTCCTGTGTACATGTCGCTGACTCTTTGCATTTTGAGTGGTGACTTTTCTTTTGCAGGGACGGGCAATGGTGGTGGATACCTTGCAACGGCATCAATTCCCTCCACAAGATCAAACTTCGCAGAACATCCTGTATTGAGACGTTGCCGATTCCAAGCTGGACCACCAAACCGACCGTGCTGGTCTAGCTTCCCAAGGAGGAGTTGTTGCTTCTACACTGTTGTCCATGGTAGCATTTGTGGTTGTGGTTGTACTGTTGTCTGGTGACGGCACTTTGCAAGAAATTTGGTAATGCCGACATTCATCGAAGGGAGATGTACATGTCCCTCCATTCATGGTTACTAAAAGCCAATAGCTAGCAAAAGGCAGCCAACTTTGTGAGGCGCAAAGCCAACATTTCAGCGGAGGTGAATGGCGAGACATGCTTCGAGGATGGAATGAGGAGGTCGGAAGTTCCAAATTCCCACGAAATCATAGGGTGGATATAAGAGCTAATGAAAAGTTTATCTATTTGGAGAGCTTTCGAAAAAGTGAGCAAATATAATCTTAAAACTAAAACGCACTGTATCCCCCGTGGGACATCCTTAATAAATTGAATTGGGTAAACACTTCCTGTTTTCCTTCACCTAAGGAGTGCAGAGCACCAGTCAGCAGTGAAGCTACATTTATTTAGAATGAATGTATGAAAAAAATGTATTATTTCACAACACTATCTAAAAGAACATCCTTGGCGTGGTCGCTTGGTTCGGCTTCTCTTCTTTCTCGGTTGGGAACTCGTCGCTGGGGAAATGGGTATCCATAATATCTTGACTGGTACTCGTAATGATGCTTTGAACCTTTTCCATGTCTACGGTCTCTGTCAGCAGGCTTAGGCTGTTGGCATTCTTCATATCCACTTGTTCATCTCCAAAGTCATCTCCAAGTATTTGCTGCAACATGTAGATCAGCTTATCAGACTCCTCCAGTTGGATTGGCACGTATCCTAGTTCTCCATTCCCGATCTCCGAAACACACTCTGATGCGCCTTCTGTTTTTTCCGCAATAACGAACTTGGGGATGTCGTTGTTTCTCTCCCGTTTCTTGGAAGCCCTGCTCTGCCTCTTGCTCTTCGACTTCGTCGCGGAGGTGATGCCAAAGATTGGTGTAGCTGGCTTTGAGCTGAACTGATGCAACACTGCACAAAACTTCTCGTGAGTCTTGGTGAAGGTGTTTTGGAATGTGGCAAATGGGTTCTCATCCGACTCGTCTTTTTCTAAGGCATTGTCGTCAGCTATGTCATGATCTTTCTTTTCCTCATTGTCGTCAGCTATGTCATGATCTTTCTTTTCCTCTTTGGCGCCAGTATTGGATCTTGTCGTCTCTGTCGCCAAGTCATTGAGGAGCACATCCTGACTGTCGGATTGAAGAGCATATTGACAAGCAGGCAGACACTCCTGCAGGGTTTCGATGACCTTTTCTTTTGTTCCATCGGATAATGCGATCATTTGTCCTCGCCCTTGTTCCTGCCCTCGTTCTTGTCCTTGGTTCGATGGCATCATCACGTGTCCGCGTCCTCCGTTGGCTGGTGATAGCGCATTTCCTACGAGATGTCTCGGGGAAATCGGGACAGTACGTCTGGTTTGAATGGCAAGTGGCGAACGTGCTTCGTCCTTGCCCGCCATTTTCATTTGTTTGTCGGAGTCCTCCTCGCTTGCATGAGCACGAACGGTGGAACTTTCGTCATTCTGTTCCGTGGACTCGCCCCCCGAAGTTTGCTTCTGAATGTTTGGCTTTTCCGCCTGCTTGCAGCATCCCAACGATTCCCCATTCTCAATCCCCGACTTTCCCCACAGATCTTCACCGGTCCTTTGGAAATAAAGGAAGGGGTGAGTACGCTCTTCAGTCTCCTTATGAACTTCTTGTTTTATCAGCTCGAGTCCTCGCATGAGCTCATTTTCAGTATCAAGCAGAGGGGACCCAACTCCGATCTTGGCCTCGATGCTTGGTGGAAGTTTGTGGTAACCTTTCTCTACTGCAGTTTTGTACGGAATCATGCGAAACCACTTAATTGATTGGTATGCAGATGTGTAGGACGTCCTGCCATAGACGTAGACGCCAAGGAAATCGGAAGGTTCGCTGAGAACTTCCATTTGTGCTGGACCGGGGGGCATCTCGAACGGTTTCAGGCACAGCACAGGCAAGTACTGGTTCAACTTTCTATCCTTGAAAAAGCCAACCTTCTGATACATGTCCTTGATGTGGATTGGAACGCTAGCTAAAAGCCTTTCGTCTCTTTTGACCTTTTCTGGTGACGGTGGCGAACTTAAACAGGGTCCATTTGCTGGCGATGACGTTGGAGGAGCTTCTGCACCAGTTGGTTTCTCCGAGCGCAACGTTTGGGACTCTCTGCTGATGATGTCAGCAGTTGTCTGTGTGACGGCGATTGCAGGGGTATCACTATTAATCATTTCCTGCTTGAGGCTCTTGGCCTGGTTTTCAACCTTCGCTTCCCCATCAGTTTCTGCTGTGCGAGTAGATTCTCGAGTTTCTTGCTCGTCCAAGGTTCCTTTGCATTGGTGTTTTGGATCTGGTGGGTTTTTATTTGTGCCGGCGCTTCCATTCTGCTTCTTCGGGGAAGCACGGACATTCTCATCTCTTGCTGGTATGACGCTGTCTCGAGTTGAAGCAGGCTCCATCTCTGACAATTCCTTCATTTCGGCGCGGCCCATTTCTTGACCTGCGGTGCATTCGAGACGTTCCATGGAGTGTTGTTTGTATCGACTTAATATCTCGACAGCTTCTTCTCGCCTTGCTTCAACCTTCTTTGCAGCTGCTTCAACCGACTTCATTGGCTTGGCAGCTTTCAAGTTTGGCTTTTCCTTCTTGTCAGCTTCCTCGCTGCGCTGCTTGTTTGTGTTGGCATCGGCTTGCTTTGGGGAACGACGTTTCTTGGTTGATTTTGTAGCAGCCTTCGTAGAGAGTGCCTTGCTCGTGCGGTTTTCCTTGCAGTCATGGGCATGAATCCTTTCATATTCCAAGACGATGGCATTAGTCATTTGGGCTTCTTTAGGACCACCTTCGTTGTCATCCACAGCCTTTCGCTTTCCTTGGGACTTGTCAGCTGCTGGCTTGGGCACGACAGCTTTACTTCTGGAATGATGTTGTTCGCTATCTTCTTGAGAGTCTGATACCCAGGAACCGCTTGCCACGGACGACGTTGTAATGGTGCTGTCCTTTGACTTTTTTGAACGAATAGGACCCACTGCCAGCGGCGACGGCCTGGGCCGATTGATTGAACTCGGTGGTAGCAGCGAATGCGACGTCGACGCCCTTGACTGCGAACATCGCGATATGGATCCCGATGTCTTTAAGCTGCGCAGCTCACATTCCATCGACATTCGTTGCGTGCACTCCTTCTTGCACTGTTCTCTTGCCTTTTCCAGCGAAGAAAGAAGGTATTTGTTTTGCAGGGCATTTGTCGCGAGTGACTTTTGCTGTACTCGTGTCTCCTCCCTAAGTTGTTCAACCTGCTTTTCTTTCTCTTTCAGCTTCTGCTGCAAGGTGGCAACGTCCTGATCATTCTTCTTGGTCTGACCATGCTCCTTGAGACGTTGCTCTTCGCGTTCTCTCATCTTCTTCGCTTGAGCGATAAATTCCTGTTCCTTCTCTTCGACAAGCTTGCGCAACATTTGGATACAACTTTTGTTGCTTTCGTTTTCATCGCTTACAGCCTTGTAGCCAGCCTTGGTCTTGGCCAGCTTCTTCTCTGTGGACTTGACCTTGCTCTTGAGCTGCTTCACTTCGTTGCTGTGAGCCAGTGTCGTGTTGCTTTCATTTTGCTGTTTTTGGAGGGAAGAACTGAGTTTCTCCTCGGTAATGGTCAACCGTTGATCCGTCTGCTTCAGTCGTTCCATCATCTTGACAACTTTTTCCTCGGCATCACTCTTGGCTTGCCTTGATTGATGGAGCTGTGTGACAAGTCGACGTTCAATGTTCTCGAGCTTGACGACTTTTTGCTGGAACTCCAGTTTTTGCTTTCGCTCTTGTCGAACGTGTTCTTCTGCCGCTGCCAGTTTGTGGTCCATGTCGCTGATCTTGACATAGAGACTGGCGACCTTTTCCTCTGCGGCCAAGCGAAGCTCTTGTTCCCTGTCACGGTCCTTGCTGGCCATCCTTATTCGTGAACCCTGATCTCGCTGCGTCGAAGAAGAACCATCACTAGAGCTCAGTTGAGAGCTATTGGTGAGCTTGATGGATCGTTGCTCTACGTCATCTCTCCTTTCGTCGTTGCTGTCCTCACGAGGTGTGTATCGGTACCGGCTTCGGGGGGTGAGATCCACTCTTGGCGTACCAGGCTGCGTCAATTGAGCCCTCAACTTATCCAATGCCTCATCCGCAGCTTGCACTCGCTGGTGATATGACTGAGGAGTTGGTGGCAACCTATCATTCATTCGGTGTTGATAGGACAGTGGAGTTGAAGGCATCCTCTCTTGCATTCGGTGTTGATAGGATTGTGGTGTAGAAGGAAGTCTGTCATGAGCCTTTGCCCTGGGCGGTTTCTCGCCGCTGTTGTTGTTGGTGCTGCGGCTATTCTCTGGATGGGGTGGCTTTTCCGTCCTTCTTGTCGATGTGCCGCTATTGGAAACATCAATCTCATCCTGCATCTTGGCAGCAATATTCTTCAGGGTAGAAGCGTAGGGCTTTCCAGTTGCAGCCATGGCCGCCCTAGTAGCTGCCGCCAGTTCCTCCTGACGATACCCTTCCGCGCGACTCCTCACAGATCCCCTCAATCTTGTCGCAATCTCCTTGAGGGAGAACCGACTAGCAACAGAAGCTTCGTCATCGTCTGCCGGTTGTCTGCTTCCATTACTATCGTCTGTTCGAACCACCATATCGTCCCCTTGTTGTTGCTTAGCCTAAACTACCGTCGGGGGTACTCCATGCAAATCTTTCGGAGGTAATGTTTTTTGATGATCAAGCTGTTCTCGGAAAGGGACGTCCGACTTTTGCCTCGCTTGTTGTATCTGGAGATCAACTTTTCGAACTTGGAACCATCGCTAAAGGATGTGTGTTCGCACCTCGGCGTGGGAATCCTCTAAATAAATAACGCTTACCTTTAACCACGAATACATCAATTCCCTAAGTGGTTTAACTGTGACACCTTAAGTACCTTAAACCACTTATGGACAAGGTGCTCGCTACTCGCGACATGGTGACACCTCACCAAATTGGCGCTATTTTGGCAACACGAAGTCAGGATGAACACGCAATCTTCGATCATACCATTTGGCTAGTTGAGGCATCCAGCTTCTTGTTCTGCCAGTCTCTCAACGATCGGTCGGTTGGTCATCAGGTCAGACCAAGTACCAGTACCAAGAGCCCAAAAGCTCAGTTGTTGTTTGTTGCGGTGCTTATTGCCTCCAAACAACCTCTGTTTCGGTTCTTGTGGCTCGTGGACCTTTCGTCGTCGCCGTTGTGGTTTGGTGTCTTGGAAATAACAACTAACTGGAGTGCATTATGGAGAATGAGAATGACAGGACGCTGCCCCTAAATGCTTCGCATATACATACCGCTCCGTCCCATCAACAGGACTGTCCAGATGGCTTCATGATATCCATGGTCCTCTTGGCAATCATGACCTCCGCGATGATCTATCTGATTGTCAGGAAAGGATCCTTCAGCGAAGAGTACTGACGAAGATCATGGAATGGAATGATATCACGCAAGCAATTCGCTTCACCAAGGGTCTGGGTATATCTTGAACCAATTTTGCATTTAGAGTTCCCGCCCTCCTCCAAGAGAGCCCTACTACTGACGGAAATGGGCAAAGTCCGTGGAGAGCTTTTTTCGAGGAGGCGGGAACACACGGGAAGCTTCGCCCCACCCTCAGCTTGCCCTATTGATGACACCATGCTTATGGAGTGCCAAAGGAGGAAGAGTTAGCCGGGATGGCAAGGGTCCAGGAGAAGCAACAAGAAGTATACATGTATGTAAATTCATGTATTGTAGAAACGGTATAGTTCGTCGCTTCACCACCAACGGCCGCACGGTACTGTCGCATCGACACCACTGGTCTATTTTTCTAGAATACTGTACCATAGTAAAGCACTGTGCCGGTGGGCTGCACTCTATTTGATGAATGAGAGTTCCTCCATAGCCCAGGCAAGAGCAGTTTGATTGCCGCCGAAGCTACGGTTAACTCAGAACAAGTCACAAAGAAACGTATTTTGGTTTGGTTTGTGGAAGGTACACTTCATGCAAGCTAGTTTGGTTAGCCACTCAACGAACGAAAGAACGATCTGATCCGAGGCAATCCTCTCAGGGTACATCCAATATTAGTTGAATTGCCATGACCAACAGATCCAGTCGGAAGAATTCATCCGGAGGTTCTGGCGTCTGCGCATCCCCGTTTGCAGCTTTATTCCAGGTCTCTAGCTGGTCGCGGAGTGCCTGGCCAAGGTCACCCAACGTGGGAAGAGGGTACGTCATGTTTGGAGCCTCGGATGGCTGTATCGCGATGGTCCGTGGATGCTGCAACAACAATTCATCACCCCCGCTTTGCATCTTTTGATGATGCCTCCAAGCCAGTTGAATCAAGCCACAAACGGCTACAAAGAACTCGCACTGATCAATAAGTTCTGGCACATTTTGAAATCCCTGAATTTGGTTGTTGTTGTTGTTGCTGCCAAGGACGACAAATTTTCCCAAGTCGCGGCTCAGAACGGTCTCCAAATCCCGTCGCAGCCGTGTACGGACGTCTGGGGTTACTGCTGCTGCTGACACCAACAAGGGACGTAGCATATCCAACAGTTTGGGCTTGAGTCCTGGATGAGGACATGTCGGCAACAAGTAGTCCCAAACAATGTTCCATTGACTCGAGGGCGTGTACTTGGACAAGAGATCTTTGCAAATCTGAAAGATTGTCATGGCGCTGGGTAGCGGTAGCTGTTGATGAGAAGGCGTCGTGGTGGTTGCTGCCACAATGGTGTTGAGTAGCAATTGAAACGTTCCCACGGGATGATCTGGCGGTCGTGGCCGAGATGGTTGCGAGGTGGTACCAGTATCCTGACTACTACTACAAGTAGTTGTACCCATGAGTGAGAACGAATGGGACAATACCAGGCTGTGCTGTGGCAGAATGGGAAGCAAAGCCTGCAACAAGGAAATGCCCTGGATTGTCATTTCGACTTTGGCACTGGCGGAAGCATATGGTTGTTGATGTTGTTGCTGCTGATCTGGGTTGTGATTCATGAGGGTTGCCACGTGTGGGAACCATAACTTCCATTGATACTGTGGTTGGTAGACACACCAGGACGCAATTTCTGGCCATGCTTGGTACGCCAAGAGTGCCACTCCCAAGTCATTCCAAGAGGTATCCATTCCTTCATATTCATCCGGAAGCATTGTATAATCCTCCTCTTCATCATCCATGCTATCGTCATCATCGTCAGCCTTGTGGAACTGTCGTTCACAAGTCCACCAGTCGAGTGATTCTTCTCGTTGTCGTGGTGCTTGTTTGGGTGCAAAATGTTGATGTTGATACGATGCGACTCTCCAAGGATGGCACAAGAATGATTCCATGGCAGAGGATGATTGCATACTGAACTTTAGCATGTAAGAAGAAACCACCTTGTCGTCATCATTCCCATAATAAATGACGGCCAATTGAGTGGCCACACTCAGTTGCAGGGCTGGCCAAAAGACACTGGAAGCATTGGTGGCGGGTAGTTTGTTCCAAAGTTGCATGGCGGTGGGTACTACATGCCGAATCCAAAGAGGCACGGCCAGTTCACTGGGACAGCAAGAACAAGCCACACCTTCTTCTTCTTCTTCGGTGTCAATGTCCACGCGAAGTGCGAGTCTTTGATAGAGCTGTATGGTTTCCAGTAGGATGCTTTTGATTCGTTTGAATCGGAGTCGAGGGCCATTCTTATTTGGAGTCGAGGCAAGGATTTGATTGTAACATTCCTGGAGGGACCATGTCGCCAAGAGCACTAGTAGTGTCCAGGAGAGGTAATAGTGAAGTTGGTGTTGCGGATTGCTGGGAATAGTGGATCCCAGCTGGAGCATGGATTGCATGGCGATGGAGTGAACTTCAAACGGCGTCATGCGGTTGTGTTGCAGTAAAAGGGCGGTCAGCTGCATTCCCAAGTACCATTTATCCGCCAATGCCGTGTCGGATGGTGGATGCTGTTGCGACAAGTGTTGACGAATGGATTGCCGAAGCTTGTTGGAGTGTTCGGATGATTGGACCAGAATGTTGCACATGACATCTGGTGTGGTAATAGCAGTACCTGTAGTATTAGTCACAACACCTTTCTGTAGTGATTCGGTCCAAGATGTCCGAAGAGTGGCCAACGATACTGTCGACGAGGAATCCGTCACGGAGTCGTTGTTTTCATCATCCAACAGCACTGACAAAACCAATTCGAGCAATTCACCAGGATTGCCGTCATCCTCCTGCTTGGGATCCGTGGTAGTACTACATGTAGTAGCACATGAGATACATTGTTCTACCAGATCAGAGGGGAAGCTCAAAACAAGGTTGTTGCTGCTCATCTTGGTCCAAAAGCAAGCAGACAAGACAAAAGAGAGATTGATGAGAGATGAGAGTGAGGAGGGAGGGTCGAAAAACCCTTCTGAGAATCTTTGGATCTTTTTAGGGTTAAACTGTTCAGGAGGGGCCGACGGCCAACACACAGAAGTGAGGTTCTTCCAAAGAGATTGGCAAAGGGATGAACAGCAACCAGGACAACAACAACAAGGATGATGATGGGATCTGCATGGGCAGCTTGGAAGAGTGGCTGACTACAGGTTTGCCTCTCTTGGATATTCGTAACCATGACCAATATGCCGAGAGTCACATCAAGAACTCGATTCATATTCCTCTCTCCAGTGTACGACAACGATCCTACGAGTTGCCACCTCGGCAAGACGCCTTTGCTGTCCTAATTTGCTCCAACAATCATCAAGAAGAACAGGAAGAGTCACTGCAGTTGATTCGAGAGTTTTTTCTTTGTCAAGAAGAAACTACCATCAACAACAGCACGAAGAAGAAGAAGAGGGCTCAAAAACCATGGATGGTTCCGTTGATACTCACAGATGGCAAAATCACGAGGGACCAAGCCAAAGAATGCAGCATCTTGGTAGAAGGACACGGGACACAACATGATGCACCCAACAATACGGATATAGAGAGCTTTCAACCATTGCCTCGACTCTGGCAACCGGATTCCATGGTCAAAGAGGTCCTGCTTCCGATTCTGGCAAAACGCTTGGAAGAAACCGCTGCTGCTGGGATCAAAGAGAGAGGGAATGATGATCATCTATATGAAATTTGGGATTTGGGAGCCGGTGCAGGGAGGGATGTGTACGTATAGTTCGCCAGGAGACCAAGACAAAACACGTTCTTCCCGGTGTCTTCTAATGTAACTGTCACTTTTCTCCCCTGGTTTGGAGCAGTGCCTTTCTGGCAGAGGAGCTAAAGGCTACAGCAACCAACAAACGCGTGGCAACATTTCGTGTGGTCGCAATGGACCAACGGTATCGATCACTGCAATCGCGAGCTGGCAATGATATTCAAGCACGTGACCCTCAGGTAGACCCGGTCGAGGAATGCATTCAGTTTTGGAAACGACGAGGTATTGAATACGAAACTAGGTGTGTTTCTGTTCACTGGGGCAATCAAACACAAGATCATGCACAGTGGTTCCGGAAACAACAACAGCAATCAGGTACAACGACAACGCACCTGCTGTGCTTGTTCATGGTACGATTCTGGAACCAAAGTCTAATGGAGTTCTTGGCCACAAGTGACACAGAGTTGGTCAAGGAGGGAACATTGGTGGCAGTGTCCCAGTTTGCAAAGCCTCATCCAGGAGCTTCCTGGAATTTTGACCATCCAAAGGTACGCTCGGTAATGGATGGCTAGCTACTTTTACCAAATCGGCATTGATGCTTCTAAAATTACACTTGTAAATTGTTTCCAAAGGAAAAGAATGTGCTGGAGCGCCATGAGCTGAGGCAAATGTTTTCAACAGACAGAGGATGGTGTGTTTTACACGACAACATTGTGACAGATTCCGATCACGGCCGAACCTTGATAAACTTTGTGGCGGTGAGGAATTGACTACGACGCAACGGTGTCTGCGCTTTGCTGATACAAAATAAGCAAGTCGGGCATTCAAATTCAAGCTACAATTTTATTTGAACGCATCACATCCCTATCGACAACTTACAGCATTCTACATTCAAATTTCCCCATCCGTCGTCATCCCACCTGTACGGTACTGGTATTACCTTCACACAAACAAATATCAACAAAACAAACTTCAAAACCGTATGCAACAAACTCGCCTTGGTCTGCAATGCTTACAAAAGGGAAACCAGTGGTGGCACCCTAGAGACCAGTGGTGGCACCCTAGAGACTAGCACGCTGAACGGAATCGCCCACGAGTCGAGTCTAGCATCTTGCCAAGAGCACTGGACCTGTGGCGTCGTGGAGCGCCCTTGGAGTTTGCGTACAGCTTTACTTGTGGATCGCAATAGCTGCGGCTACAACCCCGCAAAGTTCGTTCAACATGGCAGATAGCTGGGACGGAGATAAACTCCGCAACTCCATTGCCGGTGAACTGGATACGAATGCAAGCTTTCCTGTTAGCTTCTGTACCGGCGTGGTGGCTTGGTGGGATGGCAGATCGCATGGAAGTACCGTTTCCGGTCTGAGTGGGACTGCACAATAGATTGCATACGTTCCAACTTTCTCAAAACTTGGAATCTCTGGATACGTTTACTTTGTCATTGCAAACTTGGAACAACGACGTCCCCAAATGGAATAGCGCACCACTAAAGTATAGTCAAAGTCTTTGGCAGATGTCATGAAGCAAGCCACCTGAGGCAAAGGTTTTGGGTTCCCTTGATGATTGTCCAACAGGTGCTTTTGATGTCTGGGATTGTGTGCCACAACTGCTTCAAGATGCGAATGTCAATGGAAACAAAAGTGCATAAAGCAAACACACCCAGAGCTATTGCAGTATCTCCATCGGTTCATCATCTTGATTGGGCAAAATGACAATGGGACCACTCACAGTTCCGGCACCCATACAGAATTGCAACATGAAGAAATAGTTCCAAAAGAACAACACCAGGGATTCCAACGTGGTCCCCCACCGTAGTACTAACCTGGCCCGACGATGCTTAACTTCGCTGAGCAGACGGGAAGCGGTGCTGTCATCGTGGTATGGTCGTTCCTGACATCTGACTAAATCTTTATCACTATTTTAGCATTGATAAATTTGACACAGCGATCCGTACCTTTTTTGGCAACCGTGGTACCAGTACCTGGTACTGGAGCAGAACGCAGACACGCAGTTTTCGGGGTTGGCGTCTGTGTGCTTGAAATCTTCAAAAGGTGCCATTCTATTGGAAAGATAATATGACATTCTTTGCTTTTCGCACGAGACGTGGACACAGAAGATGAGCTCACAGTGCCCACAAACTGGACCACTAACTGGCTCATGTTGTGAGTTTTGTTGGAGCTCAATGGTCAAATCCAATGGTTCCTGGGATCATCAAACAGAGTGAGTGACAGTCTCCTGACACCGGCAACAAGCTCGGCTTTGGCTGCATCGTTGCAACCCCACGACCAGAATCGAATCGAATCGAATCGAATCGAATCAGTGAAGTCTAAAACTACACTGCTTCGTCCCTTTTCTCGTGTTTTTGCAGCTTTGGCGAGTTGAGATTTCCGAGTGTGTGTGCCTCTTACCGGTTCAGTCTTGTTTAGAGTTTCTAAAGAGGTCCAATTTGCAAGCAGAATTCGGACACCAGCGCGAGTTGAGCTCAGCAACCCCGAAGCCACCTTGCACTTTTTGAGCCTCATTTATTCCAGATTTTATTTTCGAAAACTGCTCAAGGTCACAAGGTCGCAATATTTCCCCAAAAGCTCTGTTGCAATGATGATTCTAGGTGCACTCTTTACACTCAGCTTCCTCTTTTCTCTGATGGTTGCAAGTGGTTTGGTGACTGTCGATCTTTTGGCCGGAATCGCCATGTTAGCCTTTGTCTCGGTCTACAGTAGAGCCCACAAGTTGATCCGGAAGTTTCAAGGAGAAGATTCGAAGCTCAAGAACGAAGCACCAAGAGGCGTCTCATCAGCGAAACTTTCCACAGCCACCAAGAAGGCTGGAGTTCTATCAAAACAACTGTTATCCGTTCGGTAGACGACGACGAAATTGTGCTATTGGGCTTCCATGCATTACTATCCAGTCATTGGTTGATTGGTCGAAGGAACGCCTGTAGTTTGTATTCTAGTAAAAGTAATGAGAATTTGCGAAAGTACCATCTTCTTCGTGCTGAACAATTTATTTCTTGATAACGCCAACGACATGAAGAAGTGGCGAGTGGGTTCTTGTCTCAACAGAGCTGAAAACCACGGATGGATCTTCTGTCTTCGAGAGATGGAAACTTCTTTCCCGTTACGCTCGACAGATCAGGATTGACCCGTCTGTGACAATTCATCCTGAGGCGCCACTGGACACAACTGAGCACGATCAAAGGAAGAGGTGCGGTGGAGATAGATGTCAACATGGCTGGCATCGTTGCGCCGTTCACCACTACTCTTCAAACCTGTCTCATCTGTGGTTTTCGCCGGCAAACCTGAAAGGCAACATGACACTCACATGTCATCTCCTTCCTGTCCAGTTCCAAGCAATTCGCGCGGATGAATACCCGAAGGCCGCATGGATGCACCTTTCGGGTTCACTTCTGCACGAATTTGGCAAACTGCCCTACGACAAGCTAGTACGGTACGGTACATAGAAAGAGACATCCACATGGGATTGTTTGGAACTTGTTTGCGGCTTGCTTTCAGCGGACGCCTCAACCTCCTTGCTCCTTTGGACTTTGAAAAAATGCTGTCTGGTGATTGGCGGATCTTCTGATCGCCACAGCATCAGCATTACTAACATGACTCTAATTGCTCTGCTCACCTTTGAGATGTTGATGGACCCTAGATCGGTCGTCATTGAGAATGTTGCATGTAGAGCTAGCTAGCTACGACCGTATCAAGCTGAACTCGGCAGATATCATGCCGGAGCTACTGTACCGCACCACGCGATAAGCAAATGTGTGTGTGATACTTGCTTTATGCAAGTGCTCAGTCTTGCAGTCCTCGAGGAGCATCCAACCTCCCAGAAGCCTCACGACGCCAGATCTGGTAAGGCTCGAACTCCTCGCTCCTTTTCTCTGTTGACCCGGCATGCTCTTCTTCCAAAACCATTAGCAATCAACAGAGAAGCATTCGCATTGCTAGCCATGGCCTCTTGCTTTTTGGACAATATGCCATGCTAGCTAGTACTATCAACACAGAAGCGTCGCATCGCCATGGCTGGCCCGTTGCGTGTTCGACAGGAATAGCAGAACAAATCCTCCGTGCCTATCGAGTTCTTCTGCCCTTTTTCAGCCCTCCGGCGTCCTGTGCCCTTTCCTTGTTTGATACTCACGTCAAGCAATCGTGGAGCAAAAGGCCGCGTGGGTGGACGGCACAACATCACGGGAACGGAACCGTTTGGCAGCTCTCTGCTATATCCTTGTCCAACAAATTTTATTAAGCAATCATCCAGCCTGAAGGTGTTGGACTGGTGGAGGCAGTCCTGGGACAAGTAAGTGGAGCGAAAGATCCCAAGGAGACGATCGGTGAGTTACGCAATAATCTCTTGGCCTTCAGAATTTTTCGAGAGGCATTGGAAGGCAAGACAGCATCGCCCCAAATACAGAGGATGCTGGAAAGATGGAAAGGATGGTTAAATTGGCGACTGCACAGCCAAAAATTCAAGTTCACAGTCACAAAGCATATTGGTTATTCTACAGTGGCAAAACGTGCATGCTGGGGCTGCTAAGGAAGGATTGGGTTTTCCATTGGGAGCACCCATTGGCTCTACGTAGCGAATGAATTACTCAGAGCAATCAGGAGATTACAGCATCACCAATGGTGCACGTTTTTGCAACTGCAGCTCTGCAACGGACACCTTTGGAATCCCATAGGCAACGAACGGGACACATCACGTTTCCATGAACACGCTTCTCTGCTTCTTTATCTCGGCCAAAATTTAATGCACACACTTCCCAAAAGAACAATGTCATGTAGATGAGCTAGTAGATGGTAATCCGCTCTGTACTGATTGAGCAGCTGAGATGAAGACATACACGAACATGAACCGGCATGTTCTTCCAATTCCACACGTTCTTTTTCTGTGCGCAAACAAGCAAAATTTCACCGTTAATACAGTGGGATCGTGGGATCAAACATCAAACACTTGAGAACATCACCTTTCGTCTCTGAAATGAGAGAGCTCAATAATTATTGGGATGGTGCGAGTGCTACTTCCGTTTGGCGAGGTTGAGCTCTCTCCTCTCTCCGCTTCAAGCAAAGGAACAGGCTACGGTACCGGTACCGTACCGTTCTTTTCAGTGGCTCGCTCCAACGGTACCGGTAGTCTACTTTTAGTTCCTTCTGCGATGTGCACAAGGTAGCCATGCAGTATCAGGCAGTACAGCAGTACTGTACTACTACTAAAGTAGCTACCGCTAGCAACAGTACGCTGTAGTACAAGCAGAGAACCAAGGTTGCGATAGCTATTGGCCATTGGCAACAGGCGCAAAGATCTCTCGTCACCGTAATGGAAAAGGGGTCTTTAGAACCCGTTACTCCCGTTCCACTAATTGAAAACTCCCGTTCCACGAAGCGCTCCAATGCGGTACCGGCAACCGGCAGATCATCCATTGAGGTTTCTTGGTGTTCATAAGTAATAAGTGTTGTACTGTACAGTTCTTAGTTCTTGCTCGTGATCTTGGTACTGGTATCCGCCAGCATTGCGTTCACCTTTCACAAGAGCTCAGCTCACAACATTCAACATTACTGGAGTAGATGATCATGCGTTCACTTCAAGAAAGCGTCTCTAATTCAGTGTTGTTTTTCGCCCAATGGCTTAATAAAGCCCCGCAAAGGCTTAAGTTCGAAGAGACCCTCGTGACGATTCTTCATTAAAAACAAAACTCGGAGAAAGGTCGGATTTAGCCCCAAAACTTCAATGTGGACACCGTAATATAAGCTGTAAAATACCAATATACTACCGGTAGTACCTGGTACCACGTCGACACGTCGGTCACACAATGCGAAAGATGCACGTCAAACGCAGCTGTACCGGTCTTGCATTGTGAGAAGGGGAAGGAAGAATGATGGCAATAGCGTTAATTTTCCAACGTTATGGAAGGATGGAAGGTTGAAGGTCGCCAAAGCGGCTTTGGCTTGGCAACCGGATGTCTTGCATGCATCATCTTTTACTTGCTCATCTCGATCCCTTTCTTTGTCGAGGAGTTGACGATAGAGACATTTTTTTGACTCTTGCTTTTGTTGACTTCCTTGACAACAAGAATCAAGGTCTCGAGTGACAGTCGAGTCTCAGTCATCCTCACAGATTTCAATTACCAGTACCATACAGAGCAAAGCATCAACAGACAGCACCATGGGTAACACTCTGCAAAAGCAAGCCTCCTTCAAGAGACGGAGCAAGAACAAACCCCGGAGCGGTCTGAGTGGATTGGAAATTGTGCTGGATCAACCACAAGAGCCCATGGTCAGTGAAATGTTCCAAGAAGGTTTTGACGCAGATTTGGATTATGATTATGAGGATGAAAAAGACCACATCGAAGATCGCGACTATAGTATGCAAGACTATAGTAGCGATCGACGAGTGATGGATGATTCTCTGCTGCTACGAAAGAGCCACAACAGCCGCAAGTCCGTACGAAGCAGTCGAACATCGACATCTTCCAGACGATTATCCGCATCGGAAGGTGCCGAAGATCTCATGACTTGCATGATCCCTGGCATGGATCCCCTGGAGATGCTACGATTGGTGGAAGGGTGCGTCGAAGAAGACGAAAAAGAAAGGGAAATTGAAGAGGCTCGACTGATGAGCAAGCGCAATCTGTACTCCAAAAGCAAAGATAGGAGCAGCCGGAGGAGAAAACGAAGTTCCATGACCAGTGGTGCTGCATAATAACAAAGCTAGCTAGCTAGCTACAGTACTACTGGCTAGACGGGCAAGAGGAAAGAGAAGTACTCTTGCATGTAAACTAATAACCCACTCTATTTGCATATCAAACCTGCCTGATCTACACTACCATGCCAACAACCCAACGAGCAGAGGAGGGCTACCGATGCCTTCAGCAAGATAAACCAACAGGATGGCAAGCAAGCAGAGAGGCCACCGGTACATACCGGGTTCGAAGACAACTTTAGGATAGATAGGGTAAATTTGGTGTTTGAGTGATCAAAATTGAGAAATTGATTTACCACATCTACCTTCGTCCAAGCTGACCTGGATGTTTAATTGGCTTATTCGAATCGAGAGGTCCGTTTTACGAAGGATCAAACAAATGTGCTTGCAAATAAGTTTTGGTTTCTTCCACTCGCACACTTTTCCCAAAGTATTTTACATGTGGGTACGTGGTCATCTGACGTACCACCAAAAATGGGAACTTGTGACATCATGCTTCCGAGAGCCTTCCGAGCCACTCGTTGTCACCACCATCATCATCCTCCACACCAATGACCGAGAATCATCTCTCGCTCGTTTTCTCAACAATTAATTGTGACTGACTGACTGTGTTCCTGCGGTGGGGTAGCATTGCTCGCAGCCACAAAAACACCGTTCTCCAGGAACTTTTAGCAAAAAGTGCCTTGGTGTTTTAGTTAGACGAGAGAGAGAGAGAGTACTTGCCAGTGGCTTTTTTGAATTCAATTGCATTGAAGCGTTTGCTTAACGAGAGCACCATGGCGAAACGGTTCAATGAGAAACGAGCCAAGCAGATGGAGGCCGCCATCGAGAGGGAGCTGAATACGGGTCAGGACAGAATTGATGTGGCTGGAACCATGGCCAATGACTTGAAAGCGTCTGCCATGGGAGGTACGTACGGCGCCAGTTGCAACCAACGGTCGGGTTGCTTTGTTTTGTTTCTGACGCAATTTATGTTATGTGTTGCTGTTTCTGGCAGAGGGAGAAGACAAACTGTTTGACAAGAAACTGTCCAAGGAGGAGAAAAAAGCTGCGGCAAAGGCTGCCCGAGAAGCCAAGAAGAAAGCCAAGGTGGGTCATCCCTTTGTACTGCTGCTGTTATTGTTGATGTTAATTGGTTGGGTATCAAGTTATCATGTTGTATTTTCGGCAAGGTTCACTCCACGTTAGCTCACAGACAATGTGAATCTACCCTTTTTATTTTAAATTAAACTACCTGTAGGAATCCAAGAATGGAGGAAAGGCATCTCCCAAGGACAAAAAGAAAAAAGGCGGCAGTGACGACGGTCAGGAAGAAAAGAAGGAAATCGAACAAGCAAACGTCGATGATATTACGGCGGGCAACAAGGATGCCAAACGAGAAGAAGCATTGGAGAATCTGTCCAAGCAGAATATTATTGTCAACTACGAAAACAAAAAGGGCGCATTGCATGCCAATACGCGTGATATCAATGTCAGTGGAGTCACGGTCACGTTTCATGGAAAGCCACTGATTGAAGATACCGAAATTGTCATCAACTACGGAAATCGATACGGGTTCATTGGACCCAACGGATCGGGAAAATCCACCATTATGAAAGCCATTGCGGCTCGGGCCATTCCCATCCCAGACGCACTCGATATCTACTTTTTAGATTGCGAATATCCCGCGCGAGACGATATTACAGCCCTTGAGGCAGTCTTGGAGAGTAGTGATGAAATTGCACTGCTAGAGAAAAAGGCAGAAGCGCTCAATGCTGCCATGGCAGATTGTGAAGAGGACGAACAAATGAAGATCCAGACGGCGCTCGAAGGCATTTATGATCGTTTGGATCAATTGGACGCCAGTTCGGCCGAGTCCAGGGCCACCACTATCTTGCATGGTCTGGGATTTACCAAAGTCATGCAAGGAATGAAGACGTGTGAATTTAGTGGAGGGTGGAGAATGCGTGTGGCGTTGGCGCGTGCTCTTTTTCTTCAGCCGGAATTGTAAGTTATCAGTGAGAGAAGTCTGTTGAAAATGCAGGAGCCTCGACCGGAAATCTGACACACTTTGCATGATCGACGTTGCTGATTCTCAGTCTTCTCTTGGATGAACCGACAAACCATTTGGGTAAGAATTTGAATTGATTTCCAGTCAACCCTGACATTATTTATTTGATTTCATTGGCTGACGTTGCATTCCTTCGTTCCTCGACAGATATGGAAGCCGTGCTGTGGCTTGAGGACTACCTTTGCAACTGGGACAAGATCCTGTTCTTTGTTTGTCACTCGCAAGATTTCATGGTATGACTCACTTTACGATATACAATGCCCGTACTGTGCTCTCTATCTTGATTGGTTGCTCACTCTGGACAATCTCGTGTAAACTGCTCTTTTTTGTTGTTGCGGATAGAACAATGTCTGCTCCCACATTGTCCGACTCGATATGACGTACAAGAAGCTCAAGTACTACGGTGGAAACTACGATACGTATGTGCAGACGCGACGTGACCAGGATATGGTGCAAATGCGACAGTACGAGGCTGAGCAGCGAGATATTGCCGAGATCAAGGATTTCATCGCTCGTTTCGGTCACGGTAAGATTGATACCCACGCACGTGTGGTACTGCGCTCTGTATCTTGGTCCTTGACTGAACGCTTTCGTATGAACTGCTTTTAATTAAAAATTGCTGCTAGGTACCGTCAAGATGGTGCGACAGGCGCAAGCTCGAGAGAAACTGCTTCAGAAGAAGCTCGAGGCTGGTCTGACGCAAAAGCCAGAAAGCGACCCCGAGTGGGACTGGAGTTTCCCCGATGCGGGGGAGCTACCGGTTCCAGTGCTGTCGATCGAATATGTTAGTTTTGCCTACCCCGGAGGAAAGGAACTCTACAGCAATGTCGACTTTGGGGTGGATCTGCAAACGCGTGTTGCACTTGTCGGGCCTAACGGAGCTGTAAGTACCCGCTGCTGTCGTTAACGCTTGTCGTGGCGATTGTCGTTACTAATTTGGAAATTGTATTGGCATTTCCGGTTTCAGGGCAAAACTACTCTGTTCAAGCTCATGACAGAGAAACTGCAACCCACCAAGGGCAACATCAAGAGAAACATGCATCTCAAAATCTCCAGCTTTACACAACACTTCGAAGACAAGCTCGACTTGTCGATGACACCCTTGGACTTTTTTAAGCAGAAACTCATGCCGGAGGAGCCTATAGAAAAGATCCGCCCTTTGCTGGGACGGTACGGTTGTACTGGAGCTCAACAGCAACAAGTCATGAGCCAGCTATCTGCCGGGCAGAAGGCAAGAATCGTCTTTGCTATCGTCGCGCATGAAAAGCCCCATCTGCTTTTGCTGGACGAACCAACAAATCCACTGGACATGGAATCGATCGATGCCTTGGCAAGATGTTTGAAGAAATTCCAAGGTGGAGTTGTGATGATTTCGCACGACATGCGTTTGATATCTCAGTGCGCTGAGCAAATCTACATCTGCGACAACAAGAAAGTTTCTCTGTACAAGGGAGACATCATGGACTTCAAAATGCACACGAAGAAGGAAAACAACAAGAAGCTGTCACAGCATCAAAACGGATAAGAGGACCCAGGTGGTTCAAGGTTGCCGCGCTGTTTTGCTTTTGCATTTCGATACTTCGATATAGACCTTGACAAGACGCCCTCGTCTTGCCATGAATTATCAACCATAAATTGTGTATGTCATTATCTCTCTGCTGGGCTTCAAATATTGCGCTCAAGAGGGTTTGGTTGGGTTGTCTTGTTGACTATGGGGTACAGGAGGTTTACAGAGGCTAGTCTAGTCGTGCCCACTTCGCTTTTCGTTTTATGGACCTTAGACATGACGCCCTCGTCTTGTCGTTATCCACTATAAATTGTTTATGTCATCATGTCTGCTGGACTACTGTTTGCACAAATAAATTTTGCACTCTAGAGGGTTGGGTATGGTTGTCTTGTTGACTATGGTACAGGAGGTCTACAGAGGCTTATCTAGGACACATGCTGGTCGCACACTACGATCAAGGCCCCACTTGTTTTTCTTGCGCTACACTTTCTACTAGGCGCTCTTGAGCTTGCGAGTGACAACTGCGACGCGGCTCCTGCGAGCAAACCAAATGGCAGCCAACACAGCCATGGTGATCATGGGAGCATCTGCAAAAAACAGAAGTTTCTCAATGCACAGAAAGGGACCAGTCACCAAGAACACGGCGAGGACTGCTACTGGATGGATCATCAAGTGTCGACTAGCCAACTGATTCAACCAAATTCCGAAGGAGACATAGGCTGGCATGCCTTGAGCTCCACTGAAACTGCTGGTTGAGGTGGTGGTGTCGCAGAGAGCATTGCCTGCCACACGGCACACCATTCGATAGGGTGCAAGGGCCATGTGAACAAAGTCCTGGTGGGCCACAATTGGGACCTGAACCTTGGATCCCTGCAGCACTACGTACTCCCCAGACAAGGCTGATTGCTTTGCAACACTGTCGCTGCTCGTGGTGTCCTGTAGAGAAATGTAGCTAGATGCCATGATTCCATCCACAACAATGCTGCCCCCTGTGGTTAGAGGAGCGTAGACACCCGTCTTTTGGACGGTACTAATATTTTGAATGACCGTCTCTTTGCCGTTGTTGTTGACCGACTTTAGGACATCTCCAGAACGGACAGCATCGGCACGTACAGGGTTGGCCTTGTTAGCAAGATACACGAGATGTTCACCTGTAATTTCCAAAGGAGTATCATTGTCGGTGAAGAGTTGCAGAAAGCTTGTCTCTTTCTTAGGATCGTAGTGTCCAAATGCATACACATCCTGGTAGACCCCTTCTTGGGTCAACACTTTGTCCCCGACCTTGAGGTCTTCCATCCTCACGGGCTTGTCGACTCCCTGAACGTTCACGGTAGAATCCTTGGAAAAGCAAGATGATATCGATAACGGCGAGACGCCGAGCGCACTGTCGTTTCCCTGTCCACAAAACTCGCAGGGGAACCTGTAGAAGTCATCTCCGCCTTTGCCTTTGCCCTTTCCCAGCCGACGCTTCACAGGCTGCGGATGCGCAAAACAGATGATGCCAAGAACAGCACAGTGTAAGCAAACAATTCAATTGGTTCTGCGCAATCGACCTTCAAATCAGTCATCTCTTACCCTTTCAACCTTGATTTCGGAACTGGGTTCTGCCTCCTCGACAACACGTCGTTCTCGGCGGTTGCCTTTTACTCGCCGTCCCGTAGAAGCCGCCTCCGTCTCCAATAGTAGGAAGGGTGAGCAGGCTGCCAAAGCTACGATGATACCAGCAGAGAATCTCATTGTTTCAAAAGCAAAAAAGATAAATGATGATGGGATCAAGGATCGTGGCGAAGTCTGCAACAAAGTGAGCGGAGACCCCTTCAGATTCGATTCGGCTACGTTCCAAGAAAAGTTGAATGCCAAAGGTTGGTCTCTGCCTCAGAATTGTCCATCGAATCTGCACATAGAAGAACAGAAGCAGCGATACAGCAGTTTTAAAAATGTGCCAGGATCCCAGAGAGCAATAGGATGGAGACGAATTAGGCGACAGCAGGTGCTTCCCTGGACTAAGATACCTAAAGCTTCCACGAACGGAGACACTTTTGGAAAAAATGAGGGTCGATCGATTGAGAAAGATCCTTGTCCACTGAACACCGAGGCGTGACGCGATTTGTTCAGTGGATCCATTAGCCCTAAAAGCTGCAATACGGTAGAGGTAAAGCAGGCTCGATTTCAGCCCGTCACAATGCCAATGGACGATGGCGGTCGGCTATCTCTTTTCCAGTACCGGTACCAGTATGTAGACTACGTACCGGTATGTCGCTAGGCTCCGGCCAGTTTTTAACGTTGCTTTCCCGGAAGGATCGGTACCAGGTACGGTCTATTTTATGGGTAGCAACCCGTTGCATCAGCAATCTCAAGCAGGCAACATTCTAATCGTCAAGGCTCTAGCTTGTCCTCGTCGTGCTATTTCCAATTTACTGAACTGGATGAATGATACCTTGATACGAAAACCTTTGCATTCTAAAGAAGCAAGCGGGTTACTTTTTAGTGTGACGGATGGTACGGTGGCATTGGACCAAAATATCTTCTCCCGCGAGCATGTCTGAGTCCCTCCACGAATTAGAAGAGGCGCCAATCCAGAACCTCTCGGAACTGCACCGATCTAACAAACAAAAGTGCCTGCGCATGCCGTGGCTGGCATTGCCCACACCCTACAAGAGCCATCTTCGTAGCAATCAGGCATCAATCGGGTTGTTGCCATTGTTGTTGCCGGGAAGAGAAAGCATTCGGTCTTGTCAAAAGATCTTCACGAGTCAGTCAGGTACTGGTGGGATACGGCCTTCCTCTCTGTGAAGTGTTTAATCAGTGTTGGTTGGTGTTGAGATCCTGGATGCCTACTAGCTAGTCTTCTGGTGCATCAACAAAGAGGCGAATAGCATAGCACCATCCACAAACAAGCAGATACCATCTGATTCCTCTGCTTATTATCAGTTTCCATTATCTTATCGGGATAAAGGGAGCTTGGTTTTAACAGGAGAATTTTAGGATACCCCGACAAATCTACCTCTCGCACCTGCCTACTAACTAACCACCATCAACCAGCAAGTGGTGATTCTGGAGCTCTCATCTACAGGATCTTGGCAAGGACTAGCAATATTCTTCATTAAAAGAGCGAAGGTGGATAGGCAACAGATTCATTACATCGGCATTATCCATTACTGAAGAGGCATTTGGCAACAATCCAAGTTCTGTCTCCGTATCTTTTTCAAAAAGGAGACCAGAAGTGTCCAACCCTCAATCACTTAGCCAACCGGGCAAAAACAGCACCACAATGGCGCCTCCGTTTATCCCCTATTACATTGATTTCAATGTTAAAAATCAGAGTAAAACCATAGGTGTCTCCAAAAAGAAAGTCACCTTCAAATTTGGATTTGCCAATCGACAAGCCGTGGAACAGGGTCTCGTGGGGGCGCATTGCCGTGGCAGTGAACACGAGTGCGTCTTTACGTGGAGTTTGAACTCGGGTAAACGACATGTCCAAATGGATGGAAAAGATGTGCATTTCAGCACCAGTGGCCAGAATGGATGGACATCCGATCGTACATGGCAACATGTCTTTAGCTTAAAAGTGCCCGGATATAGTGGTACCTTTCGATGCCATTTGATCAGTCAACCAGCCCCACAAGGATCCAATGTCCGTCCATTTGATTTGAGAGTGGGAGGGGTCAGTATCTTCAAATTTAATCAAATCTTTCAATTGGGAACTCAGCAAATGGTTGTTCGAAAACCGGGTGGATCCAGATCTACCTACAATGGAGCGGGAGAAGAAGACGAACCCATGAGTCCCGAGGAACGAAGAATGATAGCCGCAGCCAGAGTGGAATCCATGAGAGAATTCCGAGAACAGCAAGCAAAGCAAGCGTCGGCTCCCGCTGGTAGTGCTGCCAGCAGTGGTGCGGGTCCTCCTCCTCCTGGAACGGTCCAGACCAATGGAGGGAATACCGGAGGAGGGGACTTGCTGATGAGCTTTGATACACCGTCATCAGCGCCCCCCGTCCCACCTCCCCAGCAACAAGGTCACATGGTTTCCAGTTTGACGCTGGGGTCGGAATTCAGCAGCACCAATTCGTTTCCATCGGCGGGAGGTCCTCCCCCTGGACAACAGCCATTTGGATACCAGCAGCCTCAAAACAGCTATGGACAACCGCCCGCTAATTATGGACAACCGCCGGCTCCTTATGGTCAGCCACCTGCTCCGTATGGTCAGCCGCCTGCACCCTATGGAACTCCCGCAGCGCAGCCACCAGCTCCATATGGTTCCCCCGCTGCACTTGCTCCTCAGCACTCCTTTGGAGGAGGGTCGGCAACGACGGCTCCTACAGCAAATACGAGCGCCATGACGCCTTACCAGGGACAAGCTCCAGCCTCGCAATTTGCAATGGGGAATTCGCTCACCACCATGTCTGTCAATTCCTTTGGGACGGCGCCCACGCAGGCTTCATCGTTCGCGGCATCCGTGGACCCCTACGCCGCCCCGCCAGCAGATCCATTTGCGGCTCCCTCGGCAGCAGCGCCTATGAGTTCGTTCGGACAGCTGCCACCACAACAGCAGCAACAACCCCCGCCGCAGCAATATGGAGGTGGAGGATATCCAGGCCAGCAGCAGCAGCAGCAACCAGGGCAATTCCAAGCCTTGCAAAGTCCTACTGGTGAGACCCAAGCCAGCTTCGGAACGTACGGGAGTACACCCTCTTTTGCAAGGCCACCGCCTGCTGCTGCTGGACAGCCTCAGTATCCGCCAGCAGGAGGATATGGACAAGCCCCACCACCGGCTGATGGTTATGCTGCCCCGCCTCAGTACCAACAGCAGCAGTTCCAGCAGCAACAGCAGTATCAACAGCCTCAGTACCAGCAGCAGCAGTACCAACAGCCAGGGTTCTAATTCAAGTGACGCATTCCAGCCACAATCAGCAACGATAACAGGAAAAGTGATACAACCCAGCAGACGGACCAGCCTTGTGAGACTGGCGGTTTGTGCTCACGAGACCTTTTTGTGCCCATCCCGATTCCAACACGAAAGAAAAAATCAGTTTCGAACTGCTCCATCCAACCAATATATGTTTTCCATCTAGTCCATGATCCATTACCCAGCACGCGATCATTTCCTTCACCCTACCCACCTATCCATGTCAACACGGTTCTTGATATTGATTTTTTATGTACGGAGTCCATTGGTAATGCTAGATTCCAATCCATTACAAATGATCAATAATTGGAACTAAGAACTACTGTAGACTTTCTCACGCTCATTTTCTAATCTCTGGTTGTGCCCTATGCAGCAATACTTGTTCGAACGAAACCAGCCCCTCCCCGCAGAAATGTGGGGGAAGGTGTAAACGCTATATTACCGGAGGCTTTAAACAATTCCATGATCCTTGGTCGTAGAGGATTACGAATGATTCGATTCCTGGAAGCAACAGCTGAAGTCGTGGACGTCTTATTTCCAATGCGCCTACGAGACCCATTCGTTCCGTCTTGGATGGTTCCAGCTCGAGCCTTGGGCAAAACCGGTAGATCTACCGGTACGCCATGAAGTGTGCCACGGAGTCCACGTTTTTGAAACTGTTGCGTGAAGCACTACGTACCGGTACTGCTAGCTAGCTAGTTATTAAAGAGGTTGTCTTATGATGGAGGGGGGAAATGTATTTACATGGGTTATGTGCATAGAGGGGCAGAGGGTATTCATTCTACCACCGGTAGCTAGTAGATGTACAAGGGTTTTGAGCAGCGCCAGCGAGATTGGCTTCAACTTATGCTGCTGTGTTTCTGCAGCTCTTGAGCTTGGGAGTGCTGACTTTAGCTGCTGGTAACTGTGGAGGAGTTGTTGCTTTGACGTAGTCTTCCAGGCTCGTGTTGGATCGAGCCACAGTGCCCTCTTCGGCATCTTCTTGGCACTGCTGCATGATATTTGCAATATCTTGAGGATCCAGCTTGGCAAGGCACTCCATAAAATCCCGCGCAGATGATGATGATGTGGATCCGCGGCTTTTCCCCTTGTGGCTACTTCCACTTGGTCTTCCTCCGAGCCCGTTATCATTTCCGCTGCGGGTGGAGTTGGTTCGAGACAAGACGCGCTTCAGTCGGAGGCTGGTCTTCTTCGTGAGGGAGACGGCGTTACTATTACTAGTATTCGATTCAGATTCACTGCTGTCGAACACAACTTCCAAACCCACCAACTGATCAACGCAATTGGCCTTGTCTGCACGAGAAGAGGTAGAGTTTCCCATTGTTGCTGATTGCTGAAGATTGATGCGATGCTTTACTTTTTGAAAATTGTGATATCCAACGGCGAGGTTGACTTGACTCGACTCAACTACTAGCTAGCTAGCAGCTCTTGCTTCTCTGGTAGAGCATCGGATTTCGGAAACCTCCAATCGAACCAGCACTGCGATGCTAGCCGCTTTTACGAGACTGGCTGGCACCACCACGTGGCGAGCAGCGTGAAGCTAGTACCAGTAAATGTATTAACCGGTACACAGAATGCCAGCCAAAGGCATGGAAGATCCGTGGTCGGAGTGTAAGTTCAATGACCCGATAACAATAACAAGTTCAGTGCGACCCATCCATGTGGTGTTGTTGCGTTGTTGGGTTGTCGCAAAGTGGTACCGGTTACCGGTAGAGCAGATCTTGGAAGCTGGAGGACACTGTGGCGCCGTACCGAATACCCGGTAGCCTCACTGGAGATAGACAGGCTGCTATCCCATGAATTATTGCCGCTACCAGGTACCGTACATCCACTCATGCATGCACTCTAGATTGCTAGTACGCATGGACGATGTTATGGCCAGTTGCTATCGAGGTAGTACCCCAGAGCATCTCGCAACTGTAGATGCAGGGGAGATGGCCATCCAGATCCAACCCGGATCTTACCTTCCCATACAGTGTATCCTACCAGTACCCAGTACGTGTGTTGCTAGCTAGCTAGCTAGATTTGCATCTGGGTGAGGATTGGCTCGGATCAACTGGCTGACTGGGAAGATGGGTTGTAACGAGATTCTCCTTTCTCTCTCCTTCTCTTTGGAGTCTACCGGTAGCCTGCCGGAGACTAGCAATCGTCTTTGATTTCTATCATTAAATTTTCAAAGTGGCTGGCGAAGCAAACGCATCAGCATAAAATCGTGAAAACGGCACAGCCCCACATTCCGAGACGGTTGCTTCACTTCCCCAAGTTCAGTTTGGCTGGCAGTAGCTGATCCTGGTTGTGCGTGTACAACTTTTTTCGCTTCCAAGAGCTCCACCAGTAGCTACTGATTGCCCCAACGCCTACCTTGAAGCCTTGAAGGAGAAGAAACTGGAGACACTCGTCTGCAGCTCAGGGTGGGGAAGGGTTTGCTTTCTTGTTTCCTACTCAGCAGCTAGCCAGCTCGTAGCTAGACCGTCAACTCTTTTACAAGATTCGTCGTGGTGGCAGTAATAGCAATTGCCCGACTTTCTTTATGGCAGTAGAAACTGGTACCGGTAGGTAGCTACCGTAGTGCAAAGAAAAAGAAAAGTAGTAAAACAATGCCCACTACTGGTACCGGTACACTCAAGATTTGGCAGTTCTTTGTCTCTGGCGTAAGCATTCATCGGTCGGAGTCAGGGAGTCGCTTTGGTGGTCGAATGTGGTCGAATGTGCAAGCGACCCCCGACTCATCAGAGTGCCAATCATGCTGCCTGCCCGCTATCGATACGCCCACCAACATGTAAAAAGGGATGGCCATACCCGTCGAGAAGGCCTGCAAGCGATCGCCTCGATCACGACCCCGAGTCGTCGAATCGTACCGTACTGATCGAACTGGATGTTTGCTTGGCTGCGCCGTCCATGCAGCAGTTTCAAAGCCCGCGACGTCGTGCTCCACTCGCTCTCAGCCCCACAGTACCAAATTGCCCACATTTCTGTAAGGCCAACTACGTTGGAAACTCGAAAGCAACGTGTTTCAAGCCGGAACTGTTCACCGCAGGAAACGAGAAAGGGTGATAGTAGGCCTTCTGATCACCCAACCAGTCGCCAAGGTCGGACCTGTCCGGGCATGGATATCAGGCCCAGTGCGCAAGCAGCCAAAAGTGGCTGGGCTGCTCTGGAAGGGATTTCTTCCTCGTTTTCGTTTCGGCAGCACCAGAGGACGTGGTCGTGCGTTTTTTGGCTATCGCCGCATTGAACCAGTTGCGACGAGCGAGAAGCAAGCAAAAGTTTGGCTTCCCAACTCGTATGCATAACTGGCAGTAGCAGCATTTGGTCGTTCTCGGTGACAGGCAGAACCATCGCGGTTGGGAGCCTCCAGCCAAGTTGACCATTTCGATTTCGACCCGCACACGGCGGGCCGTACCGTACCGTACCGTACCGTACCGTACCGTACCGTACCGTACCGTACCGTACCGTACCGGTAGTGTGTGCGCTCAGTGTCATTGGGGCAGCTCGATGCGGGCCCTGAAGTTGGCATCGACGATGCAGAAAGCGGAGAAATGGAGCGTACAATTAAAACAGCGCCGCAACTCAAAATCAATCCATCGAGAACATTGACAGTAGTCTACCAAGCAACCTCGTTATTTAATTGAAATTAATTGCGACCTAAAGATGAATGCAGTGATTGGTAGCTTGCCGGAAATGGACTCATTTCAGCCTTTCTGGAATAATTCTTTTATTCACAACTCTGGTTTGCCATTTTTTGGAAACCCATAGTTCGAGCTTTACAATTTCAAATATGTTCAGTTTTAGTTTACTCCCTACGGGTACGTACGTGCAAGTGGGTTGATGTATACATAATCAATACCCAAAAACAGAAAAATCCTTCTTGTCCAGGATGGACACACAGGCATAGATCCCAATCGAAGGGAAGACCATCCAAATGCCATTGGCAATGCCAACAATTCCCAGAGAAATTACCAAGGGCTTTCCCTTATACCTTTCATTCCAAATATAGGACAGAAAATAAACGATTGTCCCATACATCATTTGCCAGTAGCTGGCCAAACAGACACACCCAACAAACAAAGGGGAGAAATGCTGTGGCAGGACAATGGCCGCATTCATCAAGAGACAGGGAGGGATGGTGGACCAGCCATTGCCAACATCGATGAAAAACCCATAGCTTTCGTCATTTTGGTAGCTGGGATCGTAGAGAGCATAAGTGGACCACATACGAGACCACAGTTTGCCATCGAACAGTCGGTTCCAGGGAATTTCCATGTTCATCAATTCTACTGCAGCCAATGCTTCCTGGTTTCGGGCCTTCAATTTTTTGTAATCGCTCTTGATGAGAGAAATGTGGATTCCCAATGAGATCTCAATCATGGCAATCAACAGATTGAGGTTGTTGAAAAACAGCAAAGAGATCACAATATCCCACCGTAGATTGCTAATATCATTGGTCTGCTGGTGATGTAACACAGTGAGCAGTCCACCGATGGTAGTCGCTAACCAAAGCACATTGGCGGACAGAAAGGTAAGACGAGGAAGCAGGCTTGAAGATGATGACTCGAGTTCCTTCGTCATGGTCGACTTGATTGAGTTGAGGGTGATATGATTGTTGCTGTTGTCTTTGTAGTGCCTCTTGTTGGTTGCCGGTGTGGTGTGTTTTTGTGTGATCTGGTCTCATGGGCGTTTTGTGCGTTCGAGTTTCGGTGCCAGCGAAAAATTCCGTTCGTGGCATTTTGCAGCCGGCGCAGTTGTACGGTACGACTGTACCAGGTATCCATGTTTCAAACCTGTTTGTCTTCTCACTCTTCTTTGGCGGGGCCAGCATAACCTCGACGCTCGGAACCGCGATGAAGCGCTCGAGTTTTCCGTCATTTAGAGCTGCCCAGCCGGCACCGCACTAACAGATCTATCTGCGTTGAGCCGCCCCTGAGTTTGCTGCTTCTAGCTACCATACGGTAGCTACCAGTAGCTAGATTTGGATACTAAAAGCTATAGCCACGGTCGGAGATTGGATTCTAGACAAAAGGACCCAGCAAGAGCAACAACAGGCACAAAATGGCGCAGCCACATTCATCACGCAGCCCAGGCATGATTTGTCATTCGCTTTTTGGTCTCACTCGGGTGGTGTGGTCCTACTCAAGCTAAACTCTGGTTTTCTGGGTCCTTGCTTTAGACAGGATAGGAGATAGGTCTATGTTTCTCGATTGCATGCATTGCCTTTCAGAGGATGGACATGACAATTCAGCCATTGTCTGGTTGACAAGCAAACAAGCAAGCAAACAAACAAGCAAACAAACAAGCAAACAAACAAGATCACATTTTCGTGAAGATGTTCTCGAGCCATGTTTTGATGTTATCACTACTTTTTACGGTATGTCTTGTCTGATCAGCTTAATAAGTAAAAGTATTGGGTAGATTATACAGTTAGCTTATCTTTTCCCTGGCTCATAGCGTACAACCCCTAAATCCAACGTCCACTTTCAGTATGCCACTTCACGGGTAGACTACAAAACTCCTGAACCTAACGTCGATTTTCAGCTTCCCCAGTGCCCACCTTCATAACTACTCTTCAGCACCGCAGCACTCCACAAGGCTACAGTTTGCAAGAATGTTCAAGTCTCCAGCCAGAGCTCTAGAGCAGAGGGCTTCTGGAATGGTGCCCGTGATAGCAGTACCAGCAATGTTCAGTGAAGTGAGGCTAGTCCAAAGACCAAGCTCTGAGGGAATGGCTCCAGTCATCCTGCAGCAAGAGTGTGAAGACGTTTGGTGAGACAACGAACGGCGACCCTATAGTTGCCGTTGACAGTCAGTTGCAACGTACCGACTGTTCCTTTCGATATCAAATTCCTGGAGTTTTGTCAAGCTGCCATACTCAGGAGGGATGCTTCCCACATGATCACACTTGGAAGAGTAGTGAGTGAGGTTTTTGCAGTTGGTCAATGCCCAGGGCAGCTCTCCGTGATAGTAGTTCAATGAGTTGTTGAACACTTCGAGTGCTGGGACGAGCAGATAGAATAATCCAGATGATGCACCACCAGAAAAATGGTTTCCATCATTTCGGATAACACGCACCCCGACAGAAGCCCAGCCTCCGTTGCTTTGATAGAATCCCTTGAAGTCATTGTGGGAAACATCCAGTACCTCTAACGCTGGGTTTGTACCCACATTAGGAGGATTACCCGAGAGGTAGTTGTTGGAAATGTCAAACACCTTCGCTGTCACCATGTGATCATGAGCATCAGTGAGATCTCCGCGCAAATTGTTGGACGAGAGATTCAAGTTAACGAAGGATCCCTCTTGATCGCAACTCGGCTCAAGATCGTTGGAAGAATACCAATCGCATTCTGAGACGTCATATTGGAGCCAATTGTCGGTCCGTGTCCAGTTGTGACCATTCGAAAAGTAAAATAATGCAACCAAATGAAGTCGCTGCGCCTTTTGTTTTTCAGTGTAGGTTTCGAGATGAGGGTCTTGAAGCATCCAGATATTGGCCATATAGTACGGGCTTGCAACCGCGGAAATTTGTTTGATTAGTGCAAGAGGTAGATCGTCCTGATATGGAGGATAAACGATGGGCATCCCCTCATTGAAAGGGGTGGGTGCTTCATTGGGATCCGCGGTTCTGCTGCTGTTCTTGGATTGTCTGGGCAACAGCAAAGCCGTCAAGGTGGCAGCGACCACACAAAGAAACAAGCACATCAATGCAGCCCAACTTGTTTTGCGGCTTCTTTGGCCACTCTCCTCCCGCAAAATGGTGCCCTCAATAACCTCTCTCTGCGGTATCGTCGATTCAGACGGCTCATCCTCCACAACGAAACCATTGACGACTCCCAAGTTTTCTTCATCCACAACAAAAGGTTGATCCTGCAATCCTTCTGGTGGCTCATCACTGGATGGCACTTCATCATCATTCGATGTATCAGTGTCTCGGCCTGGCCCTTCAACGGCCTGTGCACCCGGCTGAATATCCCTGGCTACGTATGCCCTGGTCAACGTCAAGGGAGGTGCCTCCAAAACGTTGCCCTGGTCACCACCCTCGATTGCAATTTGTACATGATCAGCCTCAGATTCCCTATTGTGCTGACTATCCATTGGATCTTTCTCGATACCCTTGCCTTTCAACAAGATCATTGGCCTCTCTTCCACCATGGAAACCAACTCTTGAGTGCTAACATCCACATCTCCATGGCTGTCCTTAACCAGCTCCGTCAGGTTCGAGCCCACAGGAATTTCGGTTTCGGAGGCTACATGTGTCGAGTCTCTCACGCTTCCGTCTGGCAGTTCTTCCAGCTTCTCAGAAGAGTCTGTTTTTGGCCCCATCACGCTCTCTTGAGGCGAGGTCCTATCCAAACTCCATGTGTGTCCTCCGTGCATTCGCGAAACACATTTATTTTCGTCGATTTATTTAGGCGTACGTATCAAGATTTCATTCCTATCCATGTGACACACATACACGGTACGCGAAAGAAACACCGCAAATCCCCAACTCTAACGAAAATCATCCTTTTCTGTGAATACCGTGTGAGTACCGTGTGAGTACCGGTTTGCCAGGTAGTCCCGTTAACTCGGTGAAGTACTGTGATTTGTATAGTAAAAACTGGTACGTGCGCGAGATCTCACTTTTCGATTTTCGTTAGAGTTGGGGATTTGTGACCGTGATTGAGTTCGGCTGGCTCTAACGTTCTGATTGGTCCTACGCGAAAACCATTTCCATGAAAGCTACGGTACGGCGAATTGAGAATGGGAAATCAATGGTTCGCCGTACCGCAGCTTTCGTGGAAATGGAGTGAAAGCAAGCCGAATTTAACAGTTAAATTGATTTCACGTACGTACGGAGGAAGAAAGAGGTGCAAATACCTGGTTAGGACCAACTCTGAGAAGTACTAGTAGTGAAAAGTAATTGAGCAATGATCTGACTTGGTAGGGAAAAGAGGCAATGCTAGCAACCGCGGCACTGCTAATAAGTTGTGGGGCCATTGGTGTGGTTCCCAGCTAATAACGGATGCGCAACTGCCACCAACTGCTTGTGCCGATACCGTACCGTACCTCTGGTACCACCAGCTACATCATCTACATGTGTTCAGTCGTACCACTACTCGTAACTGGTAAATTATGATTAATAAAAATAATTACGCCAGCTTGGAGTAGTCATTGGTACCAGATACGAGTACAGGTGTACAAGGAAAACAGATCAAGTGCACTGCCGTAGCTGGCCTGAGACGACAGACACCCACAGGAACGCAAGCAACTAAACGGGCTTATGCAAGCTGGCAGGGAACAGCTCATGGCTTCGTGGAACCAGGAACTATGACATATGACATATTTGGATTTCAATGCGCTGATGACGTTAGTTGGATGAAATCACGCGTGAACTCCTTGAGCCATTACGTATGACAGAAACCAAACGGCTGTGCATTTATTTCTTTGGTGGAACAATGTACTATAAAACAGACGCTGGATTGACACTTGGAAATACACCAATTTTGTCTTGTAACCACTTAAAACAGTTGGGACCCTGTAAGGAACAGGGAGACAGCGGCGACTCCTGGCGAGTACACTCATAAGAACTTTCTAATTCTAATAAGGAACGTTGGTGGTTGTTGAGAAGGTTCCCGTTAGCTCCCGTTACTGACTTTACAGTTCATTCCACACTGCAAGAAAGTGGCTGTCGCATTGGGCCTCCCTTAAATTGGTCAGTGGCCACCTTCCAAATTTAAAGTAGAAATCGTCACAGTGGCAGAACGAGAAGCGTAAATGAGATGGCCTCTGCGGGGTCTTCCCTACTGAAGAGTACGACTGGAAGAGGGAACAGACAGCTAACAGACTCACCACTGCAAAACCTCACTGGCTGCTTTCTTGCCTGCAGCTTTTTTGCTGGTCGATGCTCGTGGAGTTTGGAATGATTACAATCATCAGGTCTCAACAACCCACAATCAGCCCACACAAAACCCATCATCTCTCTTATCTATCTGTCCATCCCATCCAGTATCTTTTGCTACCATGGCCATTTCCAGATCTCTGTCTCTCAAGCGACCCCGCACCACTTGCTTGAAACATGCAGTGCAAGCAACCAAGGAAGCTACGAGCTGCGAGTCGCCCAAAGCCCCGTCATCAATGAAGCGGGTGGTATCATTCGAAGACAAGATTCAGGTCATCAAGGTCCAACGAGTGGACTCGTCTTTGAAGAACGAATTGTACTACCGTCGATCTGATTTTCGTCGCTTCAAGAAAGAATCCAAGCAAATCATGAACATGCTCGATCGAAGACTTCGACTTGGCTCATCGTCTTCATCATTATCAACCTCCAAGAGGCTCGGTCTGTCTCTTCGATTTCCGACTTCATCGTCTTCCTCCTCCGGCCGCCATAAGGCCCTGTCACTGGCAAGCTTTCGTCTGCGGTGAATGCACAAAAAGCAAACATTTTTCTAGCTCTGTACACTGCTGTAAAATTCCAAATAAAAACTTTAAATTGAATCGAATCGAAGAATCGAATCATTCCTCTTTTATTTTATTAATTGGTGTGCATCTCGTTTGTCTCGTATCTAGCTAGGCTGAGCCACACAATGTTTTGAGATGTGCAACAATAATGTATTGTTAGGGATTTTCGAGATCTAGCTGGTTGCTTGCTATGGTAGTGCTGGCTAGATAGTAGCTACCGGTATGCGACCTGGCTGAAGATGTCGGGGCTAAACAGCCGCCGCGGCTACGGTAGAAATTACTCTGGACGAGGACCAGCCATCAATTTCCGAGCTCGCTCCCTGCTGGCACTGACCATGAAGCCAAACACACAATTTATTTACGCACTTGCTTGGCCAGACAACACATTGGATAACATTCCTAGACGGATGGTGTCTCATCAAGGTCAGCTCGTTGCTGCCGGCGGTCTGCCAGCAACCGAAGAAGCTTCATTTTCCTCGCTCCAACTCCACGATCTTCTCCGAACAAACCCGCTCGCTCTACTAGCTACGGTAGCTAGCAATGACATACTTGTAGCTGGCTAATACTCCGCACAGTTTGCTGGACTAGCTTGGTGGTGGCTGTCCACCACCGGTAGACTACTGAACCTGTTTGGTTTAAAGCTCTGAATTGACTAAAGATGCGTAAAGCTAATAGTACTGGAAGAATCGGCGCGATCATCGATGCATAGCTACTATATTGCCTACTAAGGACAGTAGTCGTCGCAGTTATGATTGGGGAGTTTGGCTAGCTAGCTACTGGCTGGGCGCCATCCAACAGGGGCTGGAGGCCTGACATACAGTAGTAGACTTGTTCCTCCCAGCGCCCTTGCTTCATTGCTTGTTCCCAACCTACGTACTACAGTGTAGCCAGTATGGTGGATTCATACACCGCAATCTCACGATTTTCTCGTCTGGTCAATGTACATGTACCTTGGTAGAATGCGAACACACCACCACCCAACCCAAGAGTGGATACGCCAGCGACAGCACCATCAAGGTACTGGTACTGGTAGCAAGCGCCACCTCACTGACCAGAAACGTTGTGAAGATGGGGCAGCGATTGCTATTTGCTCGGTCCTTTTGTGATGGAGGGTAGACGATGAAAATGGATCGTCGTATTGAGCAACGCACCCTTGACGGGGGATTGAAAATATTGTGCAGTGCTACAGCCAGCCATATCTAACGCAATCTTTAGCCAACAAGCAGTATTTATTCACCGTCCACTTTTGACACACAAGCAATGACTACATACTGTTGTTATCTCGCTACATGAATGCAGTGCATCCATGACGACCTGCACTTGTTGTTGGAACGTATTGCGTGGTGACCAATCCACCGCATAGCGGGGTCTTCTCTCGTTGCCCTTGCTCCCTTGCTTACTTAGGCTGCCGGAGCAATGGCATCAACGTGAAGCAAGATGATATTCAAAAGCAATCCTTGCATATGAGCTTCCCCGAAGTTCTGGATCCTATCGTTGATACTGTTTGATGAAACCACTTCCATTAGAGTGCCAAAGATGTGGCGGGCCTTCCCAAAGTGACAGAGGTCGTAGCTGGCAATGGCCATGTTGTTCATGGCAGCCACCACAATGTTCATGTATCCTGGCATACCTGCATGGACCGAACACTGGACCTGTGCCAGACACAGGTCATACCAGGTCAGAGCCCGGATCAAGGCTTGCTCTCCAATATCCTTGGTTTTCATCTGGTAAGTTAGGCCCAAGTTGAACTGAACCATGGCCAGGCACACGGGTAGAAACGTCATGGTCGCGTGCGGAGAGAGAACAAGAGATGGATTAAAGACAAGTGCCTCCTTGTACACAAAGTGCTGATGCTCAAAGGTTGTGATAGTTGGTGCGGGTGCGCTTGGGCTGAAGGAAGGATTCCTGCCGGAAAACTGCAAATGCGCCGACTTGGCCTCCTTCAAAGCTGACGCCCAGGTTAACCCAACAGGTGATCCATTGCTGCAGCCGTAGCTATTAGATGCGCTCCCGTCAATAGGCCCCAAGGATTCAGGGGCAGGTCCATGTCGAATGAAGGTACCCAACAGCTCCAACGCACTGCTAAACGATTCGAACGCTAGATTCACATGGCCGCTCGCGAGAGCCGCGGCACCTCTTGTGTTGAGTTCCGATATGGACGCAATTGTGTGCTCCATGGCGGACAGAGACAGACAGGATGGTGGTGCTGTTTAGTAGCAAGGGAGGTTTGGCAACCCAGCTGAAACGAGAAGGCGATGCGACGCGAAGGTGTGAAGGTGTGAAGGTCTTTTGGATTGTAGAGGGTACTCGAGTGCTTTGGACTTTGGAGGGGAGACTGTAATCGAGAGCTGCTCGAGTAAAGGGTTTCAGGCCGGAAGAGGAAGCGTTCAAGCGTTGTGCTGTTGTTTCTTCGGGCTCCAGCTTGGAAGACAGCTTTCGAAACGGGCGTTGCGGTAAATCTAGAGTTAAGGTTACGTTTTACTTTAATTCATTTTATTGATATTGTGTTTTACCAAGTCTACCTGGGCTACGAAACAGATGGCCGCGGAGATACTTCTTCTTCTCTTCGAAAACGAGAAGATGTGGAAGACAAGCTGACGTGGGAAAACGAAAAGTGTCAATGTCTTTAAATAAAATATTCGGCGCGACAAAGAAGATTGTCCTCAAAGGACACCAAAAAGAAGCTCCAGCCGCCGCAAACAGCACTCCGAGCTCAGAGTAAAAGATATGAGAGACGTTGCTGACGTGGGAAAACGAAAAGTGCCAATGATGTTTAACAAAAATAGTTCTTGCGACAAACCGGTTGTTATAAATCAGCTAATTGAGTATGAAAGCTACTAGTAACATGCTTGACCTGCTTATGGTATGATCATACTCGAAGGACGGAGGACGCGCGCCTGATGGCCGTGGATCTTTTAATTGGTTTAACCGTCGGATTAGAATCTTTAAGTATCCAAATCTAAAAAAAGACTCACACAAGCGTCAGCTGTTTTGGAATGAATCTCACAACGTGGCTTCTGAGCTGGACCTGGTGAAGTCCTGGCGACCCACATGAGGCCGACCAGTCCCGAACACATGAAACAAAACATGTGAGATTTAACAAGGAAAACATGGACTTAGCCACGGAGCATGAAACAACACTCCAAGACAAAAAGGAGTCCAGTCACGAACGAAAGGACTTACGTTGAATGAAGAAAAAGCACCATCATGACGAAAAAGCACCGTGCGACCATCGACAATGGGCTTTATCAGCAACACAGCAGCAAAAACAGAGACGGCAACGACAACCAAAAGAGAGCAGGTCATGGGATGGCCCAAAACCAGACACAGTCGGCACCATCTATGATAACAGCAACGCCGAAAGGTCTTGGGGGGATCTTGGGTGGACATCGAAATTGGGAGATGGAAGACGTCGCGAAAGGAACGCGAAGGTGCGGCAGATGGACTGTTGGATGTTGGATGAGAGGAGGGAGAGCAGAGGGTTAGTAAAGAAGAAGAAAAGCAAACAAGCAAACAACAAAAGCGCCATGGTGGAGCACTTACAAGCAACCATGCCAAGAAGAACCAACAATGAAAATTCCCCGGAAGCACAAAGGAAGGTTCTCCCGCCAAAAGTCAACCGAGCGACCCAAAATTCTCCCTCCAACCAGCTCGCTCTTCTTTCGAACCAAGGCAATAAAACGCATTCATAGCAACAGACAGAGAGAAAAGGCGGTCAAAGGTGGAGTCGGACAGATCAGTTTTGACAACCTTTGAAATGGAGACGAAGGAAGGTTCTAGAAGACGATTTGGGAATGTTCTAGAATGGGAGTAATTTTTCGAAATTGCCCTTCAGCATGCTAGCAACAACAGCAATAGACAGTTGTGTCCAGTTGATGATAGCATTGATGATAGCTAGAAGTAAAGCAATAGAAATATGTCGAAACAATGGAGTAGTAACAAATGGAACCAAGGGTACCAGCAGGGGTATCATTGGCAAACGTATTACGGCAATACAGGAGGAGGAGGGCCCCACGTGAGAGGATCGGCATACGAAGGAATTGCGACAACACAGAACATAGGCAAGAAACAACCAAACAGGCTATCTAATTTCATCGAAGACGCCAAATGCAAGCCATGCCACACACTCAAAGATGCACAAGCTGAGATTGCTACTCATTATGGGGGCTATTACAAAGATGACTATTGCATCAAAGCAGACGGAACCGAAAAAGGCAAGGAGTGTGTGAAGTATAAATATCACTGCATCGCCACTGTACAGCATCCCCACACCGGACTTCATGTGAAGTGCAAATGGCGCTGTCAAATTCGCAAGCAGCCGTCGTCCCAGAACGCTGACACTTACCATGTCTATTCCAAGACATTCCTGCAGCATAGCCACCCAATGAAGCCACACCCACCTTCCCCCCAAGATCAACATGGACTGCCATTTGCTGTGCAAAGCTTTATCCAGTCACTTGTACAACATGAACACAGTGTCAAGAACCGGTGCATATTAAAGCTAAGGCCTGAAGAAATTCGACAAGGACTTACAGAAGCTATTGAATGCAGTCGTCGTCAAAACAACCAGAATCATCCTCTGTATTCTCACGTCCATCTATTACAGCCTGACTTCAGAGAGCATTTGAAAGGACAACTTCGAAGCTACATGGATCACCAAAAGATTAAATACATGGAGTCGCAATTGGGTAAGCACCACAAGCTGGACACAGCATACAACCTTTACCGAGCCTTGCAGAACTGGAGACTGGACGTACCGGCTTCGTACCAACCGAAGTGCTACGACTCTGCGGATGACCTGGCAACCGCGCTGAATGCGAAGGTGGATGACATGTTCGTGTTCGATCTTTCCTTTGGGGAAGTTCACAGTAGATATGCCAAGGCAATGGCACTCGACAGTCAGTCCAAGAAAGCTGACTTCAAAGATAAAATGGAACAGGCATTCCTCGCGACGTCACCAACTGGGCTGTTTATGTTGATGCATCTTGCACTGAGAACTCCAGGAACTCGACAGATCTGTGCAGATGGAACGGGAGGAACCTGTGTCGACATGAGCACTCTCATTGTCATGGGTGCACTTTCTGTGAAAGAGAGAGAGACACAAGGACAGGTGACGGCATCTCTCCGTCCCATAGCTTACCTTCATGTCGGTGCCGAAAGATTCTACCCTTACTGTCTCTCCTTATACGTACTCAGGTCAGTTTGCTGGAAACTGTTCAAGGTGGACTTTCGATTAGATTGGGGAACGTCGGATCGTGCAGATGCCTTCATAAAGTCCCACAGATTCTTCCACAACAACCCAACGTGTTGTGACGGAGTGCAACAAGCAGGGAAGGATACAGTGGCGAATGTATCTTCCACAGTGGCGAACGTAGCTTCCACAGTTGCCATTTGCGAAAAGCCTGCTCCGTCACTGGATCACTGCGAAGAACCAACGCCAGACACAATGGTTAGTTCCAGTTGCATTACCCAGATTGACTGGATCAAATGGAGAGAACAAGCAACGGTGCCCCCTCGCCAATATGCGTCAACTCTTTGTTACTTCCATGTCATGCAGCATTTTTCGAAGAACGATGGTTTCGTCAAGAAGTTCAAAGATAAATCCTTTGCCCGCATTGACAACAGGAATGGAAGCAGCATAAAGTCTGAAGCGTACAGACAAGTGCAGTTGATTCACCACTGTAAAACAACGGAACAAAGAGCAAAGGTCGCCGAGTTAGTGCTGCGACATTGGTCTGAGGAACGGAATGAACACGCGGCAGCAGAGCATTACCTCCGTATGTATGCGACTGGACCTTACTTCAACCACAATTATGGATGCACTGGTCACTCGGGCGTTCCATGCAGTAATTGTAACAACGAAAGCTTCAACCATCATGCAATCAAGTCCAAGGATTCACCTGTTGAACTAAACGTATCTCTTGCCCGTCTTTTGGTTGATACGCTCACGAGTCTCCTCCATAGAGATGCAATGGACAGAGCGGATCCTTGCACAATTGTTATTCCAAGGACATGCTCCTTGTTGTGCCTTGTTGTTTCCACATTCCTGGAAATGCAACGTGATGTTGTACCTATTGCATGGAACGGAATGGGAGTACCAATAGCTTGGATATCCAATGTGGGGTATCGCATTGGTATTCCACTCACCAGGGACCGCATTGATCTTGTACGTTCAGCCCTTCAAGGAGATGAGGAGCCCTTCGAAGATATATATTCAGAAAATGAAGAAGGCCGAGACATTACTGCACGGAAGATGGTTGCCGCAACAAGAAACTGCTGCATTCTCACCTTACGAGCAGGTGACCAAGTGGTCGTTGGGGACTGTGAAGACTGCCGGAAGCGGAATGGGTATAACTGCCCTGCAGCTGCTTTCCTTCGGAGCCGGTATGGGCAGTTCGACGTTGAAGTCGAAGACATGAGGAAGGTACCTTCTAACACAAGACGTAAAGGATACAAGGCACAGGCAAGAGGAAGACGTGATGGTATGTATACAGGAGGCCTGCTTACCAACGGACGAGTTGCTCGTAAGACTCCAAAAATGATTGAAACCAAGGCAGCTTTCCTCGAAAGCTTGTCAACGGAGCACAAGGTTCATGCAGTCAACTATCTTGGTTTGGAAGTTTCGGATAAACAGAGGAACTTGCTCAAGGGAGAAGATTGCAGTGCTAAGAACGCAGAGGACTCCATGTGTCTTCTTCGGGAACTGTTGATGTTCATGAAAGATGCTCCTGTGTACCGAACCAATCAAAGAGAAAGCAAGGTCCAGGCAAAGGCACAATCGAAGAAGGAATGGGCATCGAAGAAGGAATGCGTATCGAAAAAGGAATGAGTGTCTTACAGTTTCATCGGAATAAATGAGGCGTATATGGGTTCCGTACCTTCTTTCGCGTATCGAGTTGTCCAAGTGGTGCGCATCTATATCAAGAGAGGGTGTCGCCTAGTGAAAGATCTCAACGCCATGGCTTAAGAGTTAATCAATAAGCATTATTTAGCTTGTTGTCACCAGCATCGCTGCAATAGAAGAGTCCCGACACAGTCTTAGTTGCTTATCACAGCTGCAACCCCATAGGCCCTGCTCCATTTTCGATCGTGCGCGTTGGAACAGGACAAGTAAGCAATACATAGACACTGTGATTGGCCAAACGGACAAGACGTACCCCGCGACAAGATCGAATTGCTCTTCAGGGACAACTGCGTCCATTTGCCATAATTCGCTCCTTTGCATTGCTACCACTCCAAACATTTTCCCTTGTTCCTTGTGACTGTGGTTCCATCGTTCCCTGTGTTCTCCACGATGGCGGATCGTCCCCGTCGCCAACACCGTCGTACCCCCTCACCACCGAAGAAGCGTGTGTACAATGTCTCACGGAAAGGACCTGGTGGACCCAAGGGAGGAACGGCTTGCATCACGACTGCTGGAAAGTTTCCTCAATTCGCGATTGATCGACAATGTGTCCATGCCAGCAGCACTCCCAGTATCCAGTCATCGGAATCTCCTAGCATTCAGGGCTCCGTATCACGTACTCCTGCTGCTCGATTGCCACCACTCAATTTCACCATGGTTTCGCGCGATCGTTCCCAGCCTGGTCATCGTTCTCTGCCGTCTTTGTCACAGAAGACCAACACGATCACTGGTCCATCGTCTCTGTCTCAAGATTCGTTGGACAACATTCCTATTGACCCTGCCATTGTGGCCTTGGTTCGTAAACAAGAGAAGACTCTTGCTGGACTCCGTGCTCTTCGTCTTGGTCATGATCTTGGTGGCAACATGAAAAGCATCGACATCCCTGACATGACACAGGCTGGATGGACTGAGATCGATGAGATCTGTCGTCAAAGCCTAGACATGACAGTTGCATGGACGTTTGACCGTACCAAGGAGTTGGAGCAGTATCCTTTCTATCATGGCCAAGAAGATGACTACCCTTTGCCACCTGTTGGAAAGCCATTGGACCTCTGTGGTGCAATACACGGCTCTTAGCCTTATTCGCGACTCGATCCTAGATAGGGTCTGGGTTCGACTCA